GACCTAATGTATAGTCTATAATAGAAAAATGTTGCATTAATTAGTGAAAAAAGTGTGTATTCTTTAGTTGTTTTGTGGAATGTTCTGAAACCATTGAAGAGATCCATTCAGTCTGTGATGTAGCTTAAGTCTCACTTCTTTTTTGGCTGTTTGGTCTGTTAGTTGATGAAAGTGGGATGTTGAAGTCCCTTACAATAGTTGTTTCAGAGCTCATCTCTCTTGTCAGATCTCTTGTAAAATCTTGTTAGATCTGTAGTATTAGGTATGTGAAATTAGTTGCGTATAGTTGTTATTGAATTGATTTTTTTTAAAGATTTATTTATTTTTATTGGAAAGGCAGATATACAGAGAGAAGGAGAGACAGAGAGGAAGATCTTCCATGTGATGGTTTACTCCCCAAGCGGCTGCCATGGCCAGAGCTGAGCAAATCCAAAGCTAGGAGCCAGGAGCCAGGAACCAGGAGCCAGGAGCTCTTCTGGGTCTCCTGTGCGGGTGCAGGGTCTCAAGGCTTTGGACCATCCTTGACTGCTTTCCCAGGCCGCAAGCAGGGAGCTGGATGGGAAACAGGGGCTGCTGGGATTAGAACCAGTGCCTATATGGGATCCCGGAGCGTTCAAGGCAAGGACTTTAACCACTACACTGTCACACCAGGCTCACATTGATTTCTTAATTATCTGATTACTTTATATGTCTCTTATTCAGTTTTTCTATTAAAGTGTTCTGTCTGATATAGCTACTCAATCATCTTTTAATCTGTTTTCTATCCATTTACTGTTTAGTCTATCTTTTCCTTTCTTATTTGAAAGGCAAAGTCAAAGCAAAAGAGATGTTCTGTCCACTGGTTCATTCCAAATGGCCACAACAGCCCAGGGATGGGCCAGGCGGAAACCAGGAGCCAAGAACTTCACCCAGGTCTTTGATGTGGATGTAAGGGACTTGAGTATGTGGGTCATGTTTTGTTGTTTCCAAGGTCTTACAATCTGGCAGGGGGCCACATGGTAAGTGGAACACTGGAACTGGACTGGGCACCCAAAGGGATGCTGCCTTCTTGAATGGTGACCTCACATACTATACCACAACACTACCATCATGTGTTTTTCTTTTTTCCTCGTGAAGTTGGATCTGACTTACCTATTCAGCCAGTCTGTATCTTTTAATGGGAAATAGCCCATTACATTCAAGACTATTATTGATAAGTAGTTATCTTAGTCCTGTGATTTTAAAATTATTTCTTCTGTTAATTTTGAATATTATGTGTTCCTTTGTGTGTATGTATGTGTGAATTTTAACTTTGATATAGTACATGGTTTTTTATCCTTATTTCTCTATGTAGGGTTCCCTTAAATATCTTTGTAAGGCAAGTGTGCTGATTCATTCCGTCAATTTTTGCTTGTTTTGGAAAGTTGTTATGCTTTGTGTATGAAGGAGAGCTTTGTTGGGTATAATATTCTCCTTTAGAATATGGATATAACCTTGCATTTCCCTCTGGTCTATAAGGTTCCTGGTGAGAAATTAGCCAGTCATCTAAGTGTTACTTGATGCTTTTCTCATGCAGAATTTAGAAATTTCTGCTATACTTTCTGAGACATTAACTGTAAAATGCTTCAGTGTGGTCATATTTATTCAGAGTCCTATGGACCTCTTGGACTTGGATGGTCAGATATTTCTGAATACTGGGGAAATATTCAGGCATTCCTTCCTTGATTAGGTTTGCTGTTGCTTTTACTGTCTTTATTCCTTTGTTCCTCTACAATTTCCACAATTCAGATATTTATACATTTCCTAGTATTCATTCTGGAGTCTGTTTCTTCTGATTGGATATTCTTTCTTTTGCTTGATCTATCCTGTTGAGGCTTTCAGGACTGTTTTTTATTTGACTTACGGAGCTAAGATTGCTTCTTGGTTCTTTTTCCAAGATCATCATCTTTTTGCCAGTTTTCTCATTCTTAAGCTTTAATTTCCTAATTTCATTTAATTATTTATATTCCGAGTGTGTTTACAGTCATTGTTCTGAGGTTTTATCAGACACTGGATCAAACTTCTTTTCTTTGGAGTATGATACTAAAACATGTTTGTGTTTCCTTGGGCCAGGTCATATTGTCTTTTCATATTTCTTGTGCCTCCATGTTGATTTGCATATTAACAGGTTAGGATTTTTTCTGAAGATGCATCTTTAGATGTCAGTTATGTCAGTTTGATAGACTAGTTTGGCTTCAGTGCCAGTTGGACACTTAATTGTAGTCTCTAGTTTTCTTCCGCTACAAGCAAAGACAGCAGTAGAACAGGTGTGGAGTAATTCTTTGCATCCCAGCAGAGGTTGGTGGGCCAGTGACTGGGGTTGGATGATGCTTGGCTTGTGTTTGGGATGGTGTCCAAATTGAGTCTGGACGTTTCGAGCTACAGTCTGTACAGTACCAGGTGACTTGTGTCTCCTGCGGCGAACTCCTGTGCTCTGAGGGTTGTGGGGGGATGGTAGTGAGCTCGTTTTTTGAAGCAAGCCACTGTTTATTTACGGTGTAGCTTGCACTGCTGGGCTGCAAACCTCTGCAGATTCCTCCTGTAGCCAAGATTGCCAGTATGTGGTGTCTGTGGTGATGGCGTCTGCTGGAAATCTAGTTGAGCTTTTCCTGGACTGAGGATTCCACCTAATTGGCTCAGGTTGCAGTTACCTGGGCTGCCACTTTAGATCTGTGTTCTGTGAGCTTCCTGTCACCATTCCTGAATTCCAGAGTTCTCCCTAAGGCACTCACTCCAACATGTGGTTATTTGCTTGCTGTTTTGTTTCTTCTCTATGGAAGAAGAGACCAATGTAAGGCATTTGGAGAATGATCTGTACTGTGTTCTAAATATAAAGGCACAGTCATGGCTCCATATGTATTCAGTGAGTTTATCCTTAAATACTTGCACTATTACCAGCAGTCAAGTTATTTTGTTACTTAACATGAAATTGTTCTGATATCTGAAGTAAAAGAATTGAAAACATTATTTCCAAATCAGTTGTTTCACAAAAATGCAGCCAAATGTGCAACATACTGCAATGAACACATCTCATGTAAAACTTTGTTTTACATTGGCTCTAATAGGACTCAATGCTTGGGGTGTACGTGCCAGGAGATGACACAAAATACAAGTTAGGAACATTATGGTTAGCCCAGGGCTGCTAGTTGTGTGGTTAACCTGGAAACCAAGGAGACTGAATGACATTCTTTATAGCCTGTGAATTAGAGCGTTAGAGCCACACTGAACTAAGAATTACAAATTATGCAAATTTTGCCAGCACAATTGTCAACAATTTCCAGATAACCAAAAATGAATTCATAGTAATATTTGCAGTAAAAACCTGTCTCCTGCTTTACAGTGTGGCTGAATAGTAATGCTTCTGGAAATGAACATCTTACCCGTTGGGAATGATGAAATAGAAAATTTCTCAAAAATGAAACCACTAAAAACATTTGAATTTGACTCACAAGGTTTGATCATATTTGAAGTTTTTGAACCATGGTAAATTCGGTAGCATGACAACTCATTGGCTACTATTCAAAAAATAAAGACTTTGTTAGGGAAAAAAAAACCCAAATTGTTCCTTTACTCAAAAAAATTAAGCTGTTTTTAGTGATTTTACTATTAATAATGCTGAATTTTCTGTTTTGAAACTATGTAACTTATATTTTGTATATAATACAATTATGCAAATATAATAAGGAGTGAAAATGCCTTTTAAGAGAAAATTGTAAGGAAAAGAAGTAAAACAAAACAAGCACTCTAATTCTGAATGTTAATTGGAAATAGCAATATGAATTCCAAATAAGAAGACATTAAAAGAGTGATAATATTTAGTTCCAGATTATATATTACGAATGCCATTTAAAAGAATCAGGACTTGGAAAAATCCTTGATTATAGGTCTGGGGCAGGAATATTTTTTCATAGAAAGAAAGGAATATTTTCCAAGAATATTGGGAGTCAAGTCAGTGTTCACTGAGCAACATGACTGGGCTGCTACTAACTGGAGATAGCATATCAGAAGAATAGTAACTCTGGATTAAAACACATTATTTTAAAAAATATATATATATTTTTATTGGAAAAGCAGATTTACAGAGAAGGAGAAATAGAAAGATCTTCCCTCCTCTGGTTACCTCCTCAAGTGGCTGCAGTTGCCAGAGCTGAGCTGATCCGAAGCCACGGAGCCAGGAGCTTCTTCTGGGTCTCTCATCCAGGTGCAGGGTCCCAAGGCTTTGGGCCGTCCTGGACTGCTTTCCCAGGCTACAATCAGGAAGCTGGATGGGAAGTGGAGTAGCTGGGACACAAACCGGCACCCACATGGGATGCCAGTGCATTCAAGGCAATGACTTCAGCCCACTGAGCCATCGTGCCAGGCCTAAAACATTATGTTAAAAATCCATGAGTATATAATGTATTTAAAAAGCTGAAATGCAGAACGTAGTAATGAAATAGAAACTTGATATTTGGCTCAATTAAGCCAATATATGAAGTTTTGAAAATTTAAGGTGCTAGTCAGAGACAGTTTGCAGAAATATTTGAAAGTGAAATTATTAAAGGAATTATTTAGGATAAAATTATCTTTTTTTTTTTTTTTGCTGCTATGCTTTTTCTCCTGTATTTTCTTACACTTACAAGTAATATGAGGGTAGTAAATTTTCTTTCATGTTTGACTTCATGTCACTTATGGTATTATCTTAAGATTGGTAGTTTTATTATAAAATGCAAAGATGTGGAAAATAAGGTAAATGTTAATTAGATGGAAAAGGAATCCACTAGAAGTTTCTGTAAAAGGCCAGCTGGTTCATACTGTAGGTTCTGATGGCCACCTCACCCTTCTTATGGCACCTTTGTCATACTGTGACTATAGTGTGGAAGCAGCCCTAGACAATCTTACGAATACTAAGTTTATTGGCTGTTATTTATAAAAACAGCAAGCCTTGATGCAGAGTGTTGAAAGGGATTCTTGATTTTTAACTTTTATGTCGTCTTTTATAGGTACAAGGGACCACTGTTAGAAGAGCAGATCCTTACCAAGGCAGCAGAAAGTGGACTGTCTTCGCCTGAATTTACAGAGCTGTGTGTTTGGCTAGGTTCTCAAATAAAGTCCTTATGCAACTTGGAAGAAAGTATCACTTCAGCTGGTATTGCCCTTATTTTTTTACTTATTTTTCATAAAATGATAATTAGTAGTTTTTCAGTGTGCACTTTTTACAAAGAAAACTCGCTAATATTGAGAACTTCAGAATGGGATTTGATTAAATTTTGTATGAATTCACACTTAATTCTTAAAATTGCTGTAAACTGTAAGTAATTACTATTTATCTGCTGTTTTAACCGTAGTATTGGAAAAAAACAGGGTTGAACGTAGTTGCATTTATTTATTTATTTTTTTTGAAATAGTTCCTTAGGCTCAGGGATTTCCCCTTTACCTTTCCCAACCTCCTCCTGCCACTGTTTCTCCCCTATAACAATAATATAGTTCTTCAACAGTCACAAGTCCATCATTCTTCTACTTGTTTCTTGATATTGTAGGCATAAACAGGGCTAGAAAGTGCAGCATTCCATTGTCAAGATATTTTTAAAAGATTTGTTTATTTGACAGCTGAGTGACAGAGAAGAAATTTTCCATCTTTTGCTTTACTCCCCAAATGTATGCAATAGCCACCGCTGGGCAAGGCTGAAGCCAGGAGCCAGAAATTACATCTCTGTCTGCATGTGGTTAGCAATAACCCAAGTGTGTAGGCCAGAATCTGTTGCTTCCTATACACATTAACAGGAAGTTGTATTGGAAGTAGAGGGGGGATTCAATCCTAGGCATTGAGTAGTGCCAAGCAGTGACTTAACTCGTTCCTGCCCCTGAGTTTGGTTATTTAAAAGTTAACCTTTGGGACCCAGTCTGATAACCTAGTGGTTAAATCCTTGCCTTGCATCCATTGGGATCCCATATGGGTGCTGTTTTATGTCCCGGCTGCACCACTTCCCTTTTAGCTCCCTGCTTGTGGCCTGGGAAAGCAGTCAAGAATTGCACCCGTGTGAGCGACCTGGAAGAGACTCCTGGCTCCTGGTTTCTGATCCATTCAGCTCTGGTCGTTGCAGCCATTTGGAGAGTGAACCAGCAGGTTGAAGAGCTTTCTGTCTCCCCTTCCTTCTATAGATCTGCCTTTCCAATAAAAATAAACCAATTTTTTAAAAAAAGAAAAAGTTAAAGTTTTGACTGCTTATTTTGAATTAATTTTTTAAAATATGTCTAATTGTTAATTTAAACTTTATTTATAAGTCTATGATCAAGGGCATGGATTTAGAGATAACTATGTGTAAAAAAAATCTATACTGGCATGTAAAGCTTGTTCAGTTCAACATCATTTTAGTGCCAAGTCCTTGAGTTTTTGGTACACAGTATGAGTATTGCTATATGGCAGCAAAAGGAAAAACTGTCACTGCTTTTAGGTTTTTAATTTTTTTTTTTTGCCAAATCTAATAATTCACTTGAAGCACAATGAAATAATCTGAGTTTAAAACATTATACACATTTCTACATAATTATTTTATGAAATGAAGAAAAGGAGTATAGCTCAATTGGATAATTTTACTTATTATCTGAATACTATCTGAATATTATCTGAATAGGATGGAAATGAATCAGTTACTGTAAAGCCAAATAATAATTGTAGCCACAATAATGCTTTTAATAGTTAGTTGCTAATGTGAAATTTTCTGACATCTGACTTTATGTAAAGTCCACTGGATAAACCTTGTCAGGTCTTTAAATATGAAAAAATCTTACAATTTAATGTTTAGATACTTCCTAAAGGGATGTTTATTTTCTTAAGAATAATTTTTCTATATAGAAATTATTTCATTTACTTTGAATTTTGGGATCATATATCTAAGGACTAAATGTGAAAGTGAAAGTTTTAAATTGGCTGTAAATTTTAAATCAACTAGTAGTAAAGTTGTTACTATCGGGTTATATGTGTTTTGCTCAGTAAATGTATTCTGGTTTGTTTTTTTAAAGGAAGAGATGATCTGGAAAGCTTCCAGCTTGAGATAAGTGGTTTTTTAAAAGAAATGGCCTGTCCATATTCTGTACTTGTATCAGGAGAAATTAAAGACCGTTTAAAAAGCAAGGATGACTGTTTGAAACTTCTGTGTAAGTTACCTTTCCTCAGATATTTAAATGCATGCATTTGATCTGGTTTTTGCTACTTCAAGTTAGGATTTATGCAGTTTCATTAGTGAAGCATTTGATGTATTATATGACAAAAATATTTTAATAGTTGAGCTACAAATTTGAAGTTCATATATATGTACATACATTCTTTGAGTGTACTCTCTAATATGTGTAATTTGCTTGGCTAACTAACAGGGGATACCTATGACTTACATTGTGCTTTGGTTTTTCTTAACCTGACTCATTTCTTAACATAACTTGATGGATATAGTTGGTGATCTTCGAAGTCCTTTCCAGTTTTAAGATTCTGAAATTGCCTTGCAAAAGATTACTAGATCTTGTTTTCATTGTTAGGCATTGAATTTTAAGTGTGTTTAAAATATTTATTACTTACACTTGTACTAAAAGCAGCTCTAGGAAGTAGTAGTTTATTAGTTAAAAAGAAGCAAGATATAATTTGTGCCTTTAATGCTCTCTGATATGGCCTGTTTTTATCAACGGAGGGTATGGAGTGTAGATTTCATCTGGTCAGAGTATTAGCATAAATAATAAATCTGTTTGTGTTGGATCTTTTCAAAATGTTTTTATAGTATTAAGGTTCTACAAGCAATACTTGAAATAATTTTTTAGAATCTTTTTTTTCCTGTGTGTTCAGTTAAGATCTATGTGATGCATTCCTCTTAGGCTCCAGTATAAGTTTTTTTTTTTTTTACTAGAGGGGAGATTGTGTGTCTGTGTTTGCTAATACTAGACTGTTGGCATTTGAATTACCTAGTAGCTGTTGAGTGGGAATAACAGTAGTGTACCCCTTTCCAAGGTTTTGTGCTATTTCTGTTTTTCTTCCATTTGATGAGCCTCTGTTACTGATGGGAGGTCTCAGGAACATTTAATGAGTCACAACGAAAGCACAGAAACACTGGCCTAGAGTAGCTTACATTCTCTTTTTTTTTTTAAAGATTTATTTTTATTATTTTTTAATTGGAAAGGCGGATATACAGAGAGGAGAGACAGAGAGGAAGATCTTCCGTCCGATGATTCACTCCCCAAGTGAGCGCAACGGGCCGATACTATGCCAATCCGAAGCCAGGAGCCTCTTCCGGGTCTCCCACGCGGGTGCAGGGTCCCAAAGCCTTGGGCTGTCCTTGACTGCTTTCCCAGGCCACAGGCAGGGAGCCGGAAGGGAAGCGGGGCTGCCGGGATTAGAACCGGCGCCCATATGGGATCCCAGGCGTGCAAGGCGAGGACCTTTAACCACTTGCGCCACCGCGCCGGGCCCAGCTTACATTCTCTTAATGTCAGTGAGACTACTTATGTGATTGATAATGTTTTCCTTTTTGTTTTAGCTGCTAGGAAGCTAAATGATACAGGTTTTTGGTACAAATAAAAATATAAGAGAAGTGGTAGTTCTTTCTGATTAATGATGCTTAGGGTGGTGAGGAGGAATTAGCTTTATGGTTACATCAATTCAGTAATGAAGAATGAAAAAGTTCTAGAGGTGGATGGGTAGCGGTGGTTGCATAACATTGCAAACTTTTTTTATTTTTAATTAAAAATTTTTTTTTTAATTAAAAAATTTTTAATTTAATTTTTGGAGGTGGACAAGGAGAAGCCATTGCCAGCCTCCCAACTGCACCAGTACCCAGGGATGGGAAACAACCACCAGATATCAACCCAGGGTCCCAACGTGACACACATGCCAAGTATTCTGCCCAGGTGGTTTGATAGTTCTGAAATATGTTGATCTCGCTGATCCAAGGATGAGGGAACCCTTTCAGCATCCATTGGCTGACATAATCAACCTCAGTCTTCATTCGCTGAGATATTTGCTGTCATCATTTGGCTGGGGTAGTTGACCAATTTGTTCTGCCCTCCTTCCTCTGGCATAGTACAGATGTCTTTTGTAGGCTTCAGTGGGCTGCCGAACACTGGATGCATACCTGGGCCAGCTGTCCACTATTCCATCTTTTCCCCACTGAGGAGGATCAGTTCTCGCAGGTGGGCCCAAGGACCCAGGCCAGGCGACCCAGGCCCCACTGGACCTTCAGCCCCCAAGACTCATGGACCTGGCACCCACCGTGACCAGACTGGCCTGGCTCATTTGACCTTGGCATCCACCAGTGGGTGTTGCAGCCTAGTTTAATCCAGCCTGCTTCCCTTTCCAGCTCATGCTAGTGAGTGATGCAACCTAGCCTGGTCCAGCTAGTGCTCAGTCCCAGCCCTAATGTGGACTGGCTGGAGTTGCGGTTTGATTAGCCCCGCACTCTATCCTGCTTCTCAGATCTGCCAGTGAATGTTATGAACTGGCCCGTCCTGGTTCAGCTCCAGACCTGAATCACATGTATGGTGGTGGGTTCAGTAACCTGGCATGGTCTGGGCTGCTCCTTTCCTTGGTTTTTGCACTCATCTGCAGGGACTGCATTCTGACAAAAGTTCCCCAAGCTCCTCTGTCCAGTCTTCTTCCAGTGGCAGATCTCATGCCTACTGGTGAGTCTTTGGCCCAGGTTAATTTAGTCTACCTCTTGTCCTGGCTGGTACGTTATTGCTTAGCCGACCCACACGCATTTGGGTTGTTACTGTTGGGTGCTACAACCTAGACACACCAGACACAGCTCTCACATGGGTCAGCAGGAGCCGAGACCTACCCTAGCCTGTTCTGCACCCATCCTGGCTCTCATGAGTATTAATGGGTGCTGGAATCTGGCCCAGTCTGGCATTTCCTAGACCCAGTCCACACCCATTTGCAGATGTTCTTAATGTGAGAGAATTGTACACTTAAAAATGGTTACAGTGATAAATTTATGGGTAAAGGTTACCTACTCACTGTATAAGTCTTAGAAAGTTAGTTGAAATTGCAAATAATAAAATCATTAATAACCTAATTCTCCAGAGAAGATGATACATAAATATTTGGGGTATGTTCCCCCTCCCTCCCCCACGCACTGTGTTTTCTCATTTGCTTGCTCTCTTAAGACTGGAATCCTCTTATAGATATTACCTGTTCTCTTTCTCTTTAATGTGGTGTTCTCTTATTTTCCCTAGCGTGATTGTTTTTCGAAGAAAAAAATTAGGTTAAATGTATTATAACCTGCATATTGGTATAACATTTTCTTTAGTAAATTTGAAATTTAGAGGCAACTGGACTTTTTTCTATTTTAAAATAATTTAATTTTGATTACTTTTGCTTTAAAACCTATCAACATTTTAAACATCTGGTCTAGATATTGTTCGATTTTGTGTCAGAAAAGTTGTACAAGGTCAGCGTCTTAGGAGCATATCCTCCTTTGTGTTAGTTTAAATATTTGAATCATACTTAATTGTTTTAATCCTTTTTAATCATTTAATAAAGCAGCTTAGAAATGTTTGCAACAAGTGTAAAATAATAACCAAATTCTTTACTATGTGAAGAGCTTTTACAAGTCAAGGAGAATAAGGTGAAAATTTCTTGGAAAAATGTATTTCATACTTAGGACACGAACATGAATTCTGCAGGAATAATTTGTTCACAAATTGCTTGCAGCATGAGAAGATGAACAGTATCACCCAGTATTAAAATAGCAGAATACCATTTTTCATTTGAAGTCAAATGGCTCAGAATCTGGGAATGGGATCCTGATACCTACTTTTTTTTTTGATAGCTACATTTTTAACAGTTTGTCAGTTCTCATCAATTAAAGTTGAACCTGCAGTATTAAATTGAGGCTTTCTATGTGTGTGTTTGCATAACTTTAAACATGCTAAAAACAAAAGTCCTAATAGTTAATTAGATACATAGAAAAGAAAACCCTACAGTTTACTTACTGTAGTGAAAAGTTTATTTAAAACTATAATCACTAAAGGCTTTTGAGCAATTTTTTTTTAATTATGGATTTTTTAAAGTTTAATTTTAATTTTATTTGAAAGGCCTAGTTACAGAGAGATAGGTCTTTTATTTGCTGGTTCATTCCCAAGATGGCTGCCAGGACACAAAGGCTAGGAGTGCCAGTAGGATCACTACATGGTGCAGAGGCCCAAGAACTTGTGCCATCTTCTGCTGCTCTCCCAGGTGTTTTAGCAGGGAGCTGGATGGGAAGTGGGGTAGCCGTGACTTGAACTGATGATCTTATGGGATGCTCTTGTTGTGGGTAGTGGCTTAACCCACTCACTAAACCACAACACTAGTCCTGAATAATTTATAAGTATGGTTATTGAAAAGATTGAATGACTTGGTGGAAGTCCTGGGACTTGTAAACAACCTGGGATATTTGGTTTAAATTGTACTGTTTTTGTACAGACTAGATAGAGCTATTATCTCCTTATCTCCTGCCCTCCCAGATAGTTAGGTAGATGAGAGGAGATATTTTGTGTGAGTCTTACACATTCTAAAATTTCTGATTTGCATGTAATGATATATGATATATTGGACTGAGGATAACTACTATTTATTTGGCTTTATGTTCCGTTGCCACCAAGGTACCTGATTCAGAACAGGCCCTGGGTAAATATGTATGTGTACTTATTGAAATAGCAATGCAGATAATTTATGGTAATTAAAATAGAACTAAAACCAGCACGTATGAAATAAAAGTCATTCTTCTTTTGCCTGATAAGATTCAGTGAGTTTTGTTTTAACCAGTGTTCAGTTTGTATCTGTTTATCTATATCCTAATAAATTTTAGACTAAGCCTGTTTTAGTAAAGTAGATGAGAATGAAGTTGTGGTATTGCAATTCTGGATCCTTGACTGCCTAACCCCGGTAGCTAACTCTTCCAAAGTTGAAATCAGCCAACCATTTAGATTACTATATGACTGCATTCCACAGAGTAGCTGTTTCATATTGTGTTAGCTCTGTCTTCCTCTCATTTTATTTATTTTTTACAGTGTCCTATTCTGTAACCAAGGGTATTGCTCTTTGTAAGTTGATAGTGTTCTTGAATAGCTTACTTTAATAGAGTATCTTAAAGTCATGTGTGTGTATTAACAGTTTTTATCTTTTATTGTAGTATTTTTAAGTACGGAACTTCAAGCTTTACAGATATTGCAGAACAAGAAACATAAAAAAACTCAATTAGATGAAAATAGTGAAATCTGTCAGGAAGTTCAAGCTGTGTGTGATGCCCTTGGTGTACCCAAGTCAGCCACTTCTGACATTCCACTTATGCTGAAGCAAGTGGAATCAAAGGTACTGTATGTTTCTTTTTTATTTTCCCCCAAATTATATTAACCACTAACATGTAAATTCTGTATAAGTATTAATAGTAAAAATGTTCCCTTTACATATAAGGGCTATATTCCATTTCTAAAAAGAAAATATGTCTGTATACACTGTATTTCAATTTAGACTTAGCGTACATGTGAACCGTTATCTCTGTAGCTGATATCAGGAATGATATCAGCGTGACTGCAATTAAACTTTGGCAGAGTTTTCCATGGTAAAGATCACTTTGCAAATTTAAGCATTGCTTTCCTAACCAGAGTTGTAATGCAGTGCAATGAAAGTATTATCCTACAGAGTCAAGCAAGCAAAATTTATTTATTATGTAGTTTTTCAAACATGTGTTTGAGAAAAGAGAGAGAGAGAGTGAGCGAGCGCTGCTGTGCAGTGGGTTACTTTTGGAGCCAGGAACTTATTCCAGGTTTCCCATATAGATGGTGAGAACCCAGGTCCCTGAGCCGTCACTGGTGCCTCCCAGTGTCTGTGTTGGCAGGAAGCTAGAGCCTGGAGCCAGGTAATGGACTGATACACTAAGTATTTAATAACTAGCATGTTTCTGAGTGCTTGGAAACCTGAACTTTGAACCTAGGCAGGCACCTTCCAGAGCCTGTTTTTATTCAATCTACAGGAAATAATTCTGAATTTTAAAAAATCTATAATCTTGAAATCCTTGAAATGGAGCTGAGTGGAATTACATGTACAGCACTGCAGGTGTGCTTTCAAAATCCCTCTTGAGGGAGGCATTGCAGTGAACATTTTAGTAATTTTAGTAATACATGGGGGGAGATTTACAGTAGCTGGGAAATCTGCAGAAATGACATGTTTTATGGAAATAAATAATTCCACAAAATATGTAGATATTTTATGAGTAATTCTATCACTGTAGAGGCACAATTGCTGTGAAGCCAACCAGGTATAAGCTTTCGGGCTCCTCTTGTGTACAGGCTAATTTTAAAGACTAGCTTTCTTGAGATATGATTTGTATGCCGTAAAATCGACCTGTTTTAAAGGTGTAATTCAGTGCGTTTAGTCTGTTTACAGAGTTGTACAGTCACCACAGAAAACCAATTTTAGAACATTTCTGACTCTCTGAAAATAAGCCTTCCGCCCATTTACAGTCATTCCTGCTCATTGCCTCAGCTTTGCTGACTTCGAATTGTTCTTAAAGGGTACTCCCAGTGCTAAATACAACGCGTGCTCCTCACAATCTGAATTGCTCTCGATTTTTCCTCTGGTTACCTTAAAGCCATTTCATCAAACATTCTGAAATGTTTTGTTTAGCTAAAGAATGCTTTTTAATTAGGGGAGTACCTCAGTCAGTTTCTTCAGGATATATTACTCTTTTTGAATGGACCCCTGGTATTGCTAAATGGAAAATACATATTATTTTATTTACCAAATATAATTTACAAAAATGTAATAAAAATGTGTCATAGTGATTATAATTTTTTTGAACAGTGATAACTAGAATAATTACAGTTGCGATGTACACATATATACTTGGGAAAAATCAATGTTTTGTCAGAAGTTTTAAGTATCTCATTTGAAGAATCTACAAGAAGAAAAAACTGCCAAATTTTTTTCGACAGAATCTGATAATAGAATCTTTTAATATGTACTTCTTTGTGTATATGCACTGTTTTTATTCCTCAAAAAGACGTTCTACAGCTTGAAATTAGTAAAAGTAGTACTTCTTTACAGAAGATATTATATACCATGGTGATATTCTTGCTATGTGAAAATATATTTTAAAAATTTCGCTTTAACATTTTACTTACTTTTTTGGGTTCAGAACAACACAAGAATAATGTGATTGTTTTAAGTATGTACATTTTTACAATCTTTTGTATTTTAGGTAAAGGATATTCTTTCAAAAGTCCAGAAAAACCATGTGGGTAAACCACTGCTGAAAACTGATTTAAATCCAGAACAAATGGTAAATCCTTTTTCTTAGTAGTTCATGTTATTAGTGATTATGACTTAGATAAGCAAATAGATGTGCAGATTTTACATACATATATCACTCTGGAGAGTTAAACTGGATTGGTATTTTGTAATACTACATTTTAGCCTTTTGTCAGTGAATTGTTTATTAATTTAAAAAATCTAGGTAAGAATATTTATAGCAACCGTATGTTACTACAGTTGTGATTTGAAAAGGATAGTCTCTCAATGCCAATAAGACGAGAAATTACTGATATGTTCCTTCTTATTGGTCCATTCTAGTTAATAAGTAAATTTTTTTTAAAGATTTGTTTATTTATTGGAAAGTCAGATATACAGAGAGGAGGAGAGACAGAGAGGAAGATCTTCCGTCCAATAATCCACTCCCCAAGTGAGCACAATGGCTGATGCTATGCTGATCCAAAGCCAGGATCCAGGAACCTCTTCCAGAAATCCCACGCGGGTGCAGGGTCCCAAGGCTTTGGGCCATCCTCGACTGCTTTCCCAGGCCACAAGCAGGGACCTGGATGGGAAGTGGAGCTGCAGGGATTAGAACCGGCACCCATATGGGATCCAGGGGCGTTCAATGCGAGGAATTTAGCCGCTAGGCCATGCTGCTGGGCCCAGTAAATGTTTTACTTAAATGAACGTATTTGAAAAGTAAACTCTACCAGCAATGGAGTTTATGTGTCAGATATTTTCTGCATATTCCTCATGTTCTGTTAATACTCAGTTGTTTAAATAATTATCATGTTTCATGGGATGAGAAAATGATCAAATTTATTACTGTTTTCAAATTTATTTTCTGTGTGCAAGGACAAAAGTTAAAGTTTTGGAATTTTGTTCCCAAATTCTCTAGGAACAATTGGAAAAAATCAATGATGCCCTTTCCTGTGAATATGAATGCCGCCGGAGGATGTTAATGAAACGATTAGATGTGACAGTGCAGTCTTTCGGGTGGTCCGATAGAGCAAAGGTAAGACTGTCTCTCCATTTGTGTCCTGTAGGTGGTAGCCTCTTACAGCGCTTCTGTAACCATGCCATGTTTGTGAGCCACATAAGACCATCTACGGTTATTACATAATAGTTCCAGTCATGTATAACTCCTTATTTGCAAATAATTTCTTCCCAGTTTTTCACATTAAAAGAAAAAAACAAAAACCAAAACCTCATCGACATGAGATATTCAGAGAAATTTTATGAGGTAGTCAGAAAGGTAGAGTAAGCAGCCAGTCAACAAAGCAGGGTGAAGGGATGGGACCAGGTAATACTTGACTGTTTTCTGAAAGTCACAGCCTGGTCTTTCATTGTGTGTTTGCTTGTACCACAAGCATATTTACAACAAAGTGTTCATAGAATTATCTGATCCTTACATTCTGAAAATGCTTATTCTGCTGTCACACAGGATTCATAGTTTAGATAACTGTAAAATCCTAGATAAATGTTTTTCTCTAAAAATGCTGAAAGGTGTTGCTGTCATTTTTTTCAGCTGCGTAGTTTTGCTCTTAAAAAACAACAAAACTGATGCCAATCTCTTTTGCTTGAATGGCCTTTGGTTTTTCTCTGGAAAATGTTGGTGTCTATTCTTGGAGTTTTGGGCTTCTCAGTCTGTGCTGGTCTGTCTCTTTTCATTATGCCAATCACTAGACGGGCTTTCTTCAGTTTGCCTTTACAAAGTTCCTATTTGTCAGATATTGGGCATGCTGGGTACATCTGCTTGAGTAGCTTTAAAAAAAAACTTCCTATGAATTCTGTGTGATTCTTAAGTGCTTTGTTGTTTTGGTGGGGGATAAAGGTGGAAATTAAATGATCCTTTTATTTTATTTTTATTCAAAAATCTGTCTAGTGATTTTTGATTCATCTCTCTTGAATTCTCTCTTGGTGTGTTTTCTATTGCATGGTGGTCCTCAGTTGTTAATCCTTAAGAGAAGTGCAAACTGAATTACAGTTATTGATAGGCAAAACATCAGTCTTTGAAGCTGGCAGTTAAGCAGTTCTTAATGCTACCATGTAGAAATCTTTACTCTGTAGCTGTTCATTTTTCATAAAGAGAAACTTGTCCTATTTATTGCTTTTTCATTTGACTGGGAGAGGAATACCAGTATGGATCCAGTTTGAGAAATGGACTCTTTTACAAATAGGCCTTGTGTTAACCCTGATTTTCAATTTTGAATGTCATTGTCTGAGATCCAGATTACCTTTCCTGCATCTCTCTTTCACTCTTTGTTGTACGATCTGTGTATCTTTTTACAATCTTGTATTTTCACTGACTCATGCATATGTGACTCTTCCTTCATGTGTATTATGTAGAGTCTGGCAGACATATACAGAAAAATGAAGAGTGGTTGAGTAGGACTGCTGGTGCAAGTGTTTCTTCAGAGAAACACTTTAACATAGTAATAAAATAGTTATGAAGCAGATTTTGAAGACAGTGAGTTTTCAAAGAAAATAGAATAACCTTGTGCTTATTGAGCGTTAATGTGCTTGGTTGTGAATAAGCATCTGACTAGTTGTGGAAGGTTTCTGTGTCTGTATTTCCTAATTGGCTTTTCCAGTGGTGAAACCCTGATTCTGTTCTCCATGTGTACAAGGAAATATTCTAGGGTTGTGCCTGTCCATGTCATTGGAGTAACTGTTGGTATACTGGAACTCCAGTCTCCTCTAGGAGCTATGGAGTATAAACAAGATGACATAGTGGCCTACCTCAAAAATGGAATAGTTGTCAGATATCTGGGAGGCACCATATTGACTGACATTCAGAAATTTAAGATGTGTGTTGAGTCTGCATCTTAACTTGGTAGCATTCTTATGATACAAAGGAATTTGGGATTATAGGACTCATTGTGAGAGGAAAAATTTTCTGCTGTACTAACAATGATGTTTTCAATGTTGACTTTATGATTTTAGAGTAATCCAGAGCAAATGATTTTGACATACTGTACTTGGGTGTTCTGAGTCATGAACTCATGAAAATATTGATCTGATAATAGACTTGAATAGGGATGTTAAGAAAAACATGTATTCAGGAAATACTTTGGTATTTTGTGTAGATTGCTTTATCCTCAAGCTATTTGGAACTCGGTTGTGGCATTTTTGGGGGGTGGGTGGGTAGCACATCCTGTTTTCTTGTTAAAGTTGGTGCATCTTTATCATTTTCCCTTAATTTTTTCATAGAAAAATGTCATACTGCTGAATGCTGATCATCAAATATTGTCCTACAATACTTTAAATCTTAAATATTTTATCACATGAAAATGTACTATTGCTGGATGTTGCAATTTGCTCTAGTTTTTTTTTTTTGGTTTAACTCTTCGATATATTCCTGAAAGTAAAATTTCTGGATTAAAGATCATGTGTGATCTAAGGTTTTTCTCAGAGTTACAGATTCCAGAGTTGTCTCCCAAAGTGATTATACCCATTTATTAGTAAGATTACACTAGTTTTAATGTCTCTATTTAATTTAACCTTTAATTTTAATTTCTCTAATATTTAATTTCTCTAATATAATTTTAAGGTTGATTTTTTTTTTCCACTAAATATATTTTGACCATTACCTTATAAATGTAAATATGCCTTCTAAAAGTGTTCATGTTTCTTGATCATCCCTCTGTTCTCTGGAATTCTATAAAATATTGTGTTTCCATGGATTTACCTGTTCAGGATGTTTCCTGTGGATGAAATCCTATACTGTCTGCCTTTTTGTGTCTGGCTTTTTTCAGTTAGCCTGCTTTCAAAGTGTCTCAAACTAATTCTTGTAATAAAAAATTAAATTATTATTTTGAGTTTGCTTTTTGTGACTGAATTGTATTTTATCATTCAGTGATGATGTAATTTACTTAACCTTTATACATTTTTCTCTATTAGTACCAAAAATGCTTATATGTAATATTTGTAAGTACCTTTTTTTAAAAAAAAGATTTATTTATTTTTATTGGAAAGGCGGAGAGACAGAGAGGAAGATCTTCCATCCCATGGTTTACTCTCCAAGTGGCTGCAATGGCTGGAGCTGAGCCAGTCCAAAGCCAGGAGCCAAGAGCTCTTCCGGGTCCCCCCCGTGGGCGCAGGGTTCTAATGCTAGTGATCCCACTCCCATCCAGCTCCCTGCTTGCAGCTTGGGAAAGCAGACGAGGACAGCTTAAAACCTTGGGACCCTGCATCCACGTGGGAGACTTTTTAACCTTTTATTCAAGTTTTCCTTCAGGTTTTAGTATATGTGCTGCTAAAATGAGCACCAGTTTTTCCTCTTGTTTTTACACAGTGTGTTGATGTTTTATTTTTAAAAGTCCTCCATATGTTTTCGGTTAAAACAACTTTTAGGTGTTTTGAATTTTTTAAGATAATTGACTTTTTTTAAAATAAAGATTTATTTTTTATTGGAAAGTCAGATATACAGAGAGAAGGAGAGATAGTGAGGAAGATCTTCCGTCTGATGATTCACTCCCCAAGTGGCCACAGTGGCCAGAGCTGAGCTGATTGAAGCCAGGAGCTCGGGACTTCTGGGTCTTCCACACAGGTGCAGGGTTCCAAGGTTTTGGGCTACTAGACATGTTTCCCGGGCTACTAGACATGTTTCCCAGCCCACAAGCGGGGAGCTGGGTGGGAAGCGGGGCTGCCAGGATGGCAACTATTGCCTTTGTGCGATTCTGGTGACACATGCAAGGCGAGGACTTTAACCACTAGGCTACCGCACCAGGCCCCGTTAAAAATAAGAATCTGTTTGTTTATTTGAAAGAGAGACATAGAGAGGTCTTCCATCTGCTGGTTTACCCTCTATGTGGCTGCAGTGCCCAGAGCTGTGCAGGTCCAAAGCCAGGACTTCAAGTCTCCCACAAGAATGCAGGGGTCCAAAGACTTAGTCTGTCTTCCACCGCTTTCCCAAGATGCATTATGAAGAAGTGGAGCTGTTCTGGCACTGCAGGTGGCAGCTTTTCCTTGTGTGCCAATAAGCCTGGCCCCAGTTAGGTTCTTTTTTTTTTTTTACCATGTCAGTTTATTTTTTTTTCATTTTACATTTAAATTACCAAATTATTTAGATGTTTTTGCTACTTTCCATTTCCTTGCTAAAATTTTTTTTTCCTTTCTGAAGAGTGAGTGATATGCCCTTTTGTTAAAAGCTTCATCATTCTTTTTTTTCATTTAGGTAAAAACAGATGACATAGCAAGAATTTACCAGCCCAAGCGTTACGCTCTGTCACCCAAGACGACAGTGACTTTGGCGCACCTCCTTGCTGCGCGTGAAGACCTGTCTAAGATCATTAGGACAAGCAGTGGCACCAGCCGTGAGAAGACCGCGTGTGCCATTAATAAGGTTGGTTTTTCTCTCAGCATGCTGGAGAATAAATTTGTTTTCAATTCACAATTTTTAAGTTTTATTTCACGATGAATTTATAAAAAAGAATGGCAGGGAGTCTTCAGTTCTCAGGCTTAGTTATGTTTTGTGTAAGTTCTCTTGAGTTTCTGTATGCATTAATTAAAGTCTTCACTGAGTCGGAGGATCTAAGAATTGCCTTTATCAATAGCTGTAGCAAGAAGAGTTTACCTGCTTTCTAATTTCTTTGGTCAGTGATAGTGTAACGGAATCATTCCAGGTATTGACAGCCTCTTTTTATTACCTTTAGCATACTCAGAGTACCTGCTGGGGAGCCATACTAACCTGGCTTTGTCATTTGCTTAGAGGAATTGCCTTGGAAAGGCTATTGGACACTTTTAAGCTCCTGCTTACTGTTTCGGAGTATTGACCCATTTCTCTGATAGTGGTATTAAGCTATAAAGGCTCAAGGAGTCTGAGTTTTTACAACAGCAATAGCAAATGTAAACTGGTTTAGAATACTGTTGAAGGCCCGGCACGGTGGCGCAAGTGGTTAAGGTCCTCACCTTGCACGCCCCGGGCGCCGGTTCTAATCCCAGCAGCCCCGCTTCCCATCCAGCTCCCTGCTTGTGGCCTGGGAAAGCAGTGGAGGACGGCCCAAGGCTTTGGGACCCTGCACCCGCGTGGGAGACCCGTTCGGACGGACGGAAGATCTTCCTCTCTGTCTCCTCTCTGTATATCTGCCTTTCCAATAAAAATAAAATAAATCTTTAAAAAAAAATCACATGGAAAAAAAAATTTCCATATTAAAAAAAAAAGAATACTGTTGAAGGCTGGACTAGCATTTCTCTTTATTTAGGTAGAACATGCTATCCCAGCTGTATTATAAGAGAGCAAATTATAGAAGTAAGGGTTTAGGTTTTTTTTTTTATTTGTTTTTTTAAGATTTTTGTTGCAGAGTTTGGGTGCGGAGTCCCAAGGTTTTGGGCCATCCTCAACTGCTTTCCCAGGACACAAGCAGGGACCTGGATGGCAGGTGGAGTTGCAGGGATTAGAACTGGCACCCATATGGGCTCCTGCCATGTTCAAGGAGAGAACCTTAACCGTTATGTTATCATGCTGGGGCCTGAGTCTAAATTTTTAAAAGAATAGTTTGGACCCAGCACGGTAACCTAGTGGATAAAGTCCTTGCCTTGCACGTGCTAGGATCCCATATGGGCGCTTGTTCTAATCCCAGCAGCTCCGCTTCCCATCCAGCTCCCTGCTTGTGGCCTGGGAAGGCAGTTGAGGATGGCCCAGAGCAGTGGGACCCTGCATTTACTTTGGAGACCTGGGGGAGCTCCTGGTGTCAGATTGGCCAGCTCTTTTGGGGAATGAATCAACGGACGATCTTACTCTCTATATATCTTTCAAAAAAAAGGAAAAAAAGGAATAGTTTGTTGAAAATTGTTCTTTGTAGTAATATCTAGGATTAGTTACTACATTCAACCCTGACCTTATTACATCTGTGTTGCATGTACTTCCAATTGTTGAAATAAAATTCTTAGAAATAAAATTTTTATTGGATAATCTGTAATCAAATCAGTGGCAATGGAAAATAATGATTACATGAATGGGGATGAAGTTAATTAACAGAGTATGTAGTTTATATTGAAAATGTTGCTTTAAAATTATTTTAGTGTTATGGGTACATTTGTTATAGAATTTGCTAAAGAAATTTAAGTGAGAGAAAAGTAACTAACCCTTAAGCTTTGACGATAACTCCTAAATTAAAAAAAAAATGCCACAATCTGAGGCATTTGTCATACATAATTTATTTTTCCAGTATTGTATTGTCATATCTGAGAACATGTCCTGGAATATTTGCATTTTATTCCTTTATTGGAAACAATATCACTTGAAAGCTTTATGTAACTTTTAGGTTTTAAAATATTAGAATCTGAAAGAAAATATTCCTTCTTACAGGTGCTGATGGGAAGGGTACCTGACAGAGGAGGACGGCCGAATGAAATTGAACCACCACCACCTGAAATGCCTCCTTGGCAAAAGAGACAAGACGGCGGGGGGAGGGGTGGTTGGGGTGGTGGTGGAGGTGGTGGGAGAGGAGGTGGTGGGGGTGGAAGAGGTAGCTGGGGAGGTGGAGGAGGCGGGGGAGGTGGAGGAGGCGGGGGAGGTTGGGGAGGGGGTAGAGGCGGGGGTGGAGGGTGGGGGGGAGGAGGGGGTGGGGGGGGAGGTGGGAGAGGAGGCTTCCAAGGCAGGGGAGATTATGGAGGAAGAGGGGGCTATGGTGGAAGAGGGGGCTATGGTGGAAGGGGTTATGGAGATCCATATGGAGGAGGAGGAGGGGGAGGTGGAGGATACAGAAGATACTAAATTCAGAAATCAGATAGCAGGGCCCAGTTTTTTTATTAGGCATAGCATTCTAAACAACTTGAATATCTGCTAAGTGAACATCCTTTTAGACTCCGTAAGATTATCATTCTTGAATTTGGTTGATATGTAAAAACATTGTTTTATACTACACGTTCATCTAAGTGGTCATTTTTTCCATATCCTATGTACCCTTGAGCATGTTGTGTCTTTTTTTAAAAAAAAAGAAAAAATTTTTTAATTGTAAAAAATGGAAAGTATTTTATTGTCATGATTGAACTTAGACTGTTACCTGCATTTTGTTCAGGTTTGACACATGAAAGACTCCATCTGTAATGAAAAGGAATATAGATTCTTGCCTCATCTGTATTCCTGTGGATGTGTTTTATGACCACCAATTCTATTTTACAACATAGGGACCGAGACTGATAATTGTGTTTGATAAGTGGTAGTTGTGATTTGTGTTTTCTTTGATGGGATGAGATGATTCTTGTCAGCTTTGCGTTCCATTAACTGAAGCCCAAGTCTGCCTTTCCTCCTCTGTTCTTCTAATTTATTTGTTTGATAGGCAGAGAGAGATCGATGAAGCTCTCATTTGCTGGTTCACTTTCAAATGCTTGCACAAGCCAGGAGTTGGGAATAAGGCCATTGTTTCCCTCTTGGTGTGACAGGGATCTAATTTTTTGGAGCCACTGCTCCTCCCAGCAGGAGATTAGAGTCAGGGGCCAGGCTTGTGTCAGGCTGAGGTACTCTGAAGTACAGTATGCAGACATCCTAACCACAAGTCTAAAGACTTGCAGACCCCCATCAACCCCTGAAAATATGCATATCTGATTTTTCAGTCAGATTTGGAACCTTGGTAAGTTTGTTTAAGTGCGTGGCTCATTCTTGCATGCGTAGTACCTGGTTCAAGTCCTGGTTGTGCTTTTAGTACAGGTTCCTGCTAATGTACATCCTAGAAGACAGCAGGCACTTGTTTCCTGCCACCCACCCACATTGGAAACTCAGTGTTTTGTCTATTCCAGCACAAGCTGCTGCAGGTATTTGGAGATGAACCAGCAGGCGGGAGGTCAGTTGCTCAGTTGATTGGTCTCTCTCACTCTGGTCTCTTTCTGCCTCTCAAGTAAAAGTGAAAAATTTAAAGGACAAGAACATTTACCAGTTCTATATGATGGTATGAAAAATATTCCTATAAGTTGGCCTCTTCATTTGTGCCTTTGCACATGTGAATATTACAGGGCCCACTAAGCTGCATGACATGGGATTTAAGCAGTAGTTTCCTGGTGCGGCAGGCTAGGGAAAGGCTGCTGTGACTCACAGCTAGATTTGGAGGATGAGGATTCCTGGTCTGGTGGTTGGAGCAAAGGCTTAGATTTGTGAAATGACACAAGAGCCCCCTGGCCTGGATTGCTCAATCTACCTGAGCTAACTTTCAAGGATTGTCCTTCAGTTGACAAACAAGGTTCTTGCCCCTTTCTGTTTCCTAAAGTACACATTCAACTTATTGAAGATGGAGGAGGACATGTTGTGAGTGGTGTAAGAGGTGAGCCAAGTGCTGTATTTTCTCTAAGTCTAGAGAGAGAAAATGGTTTCTCAGTCCCACTATAAAATTTCTCATTTTGTGCTGCTGGGAAGCACCTGTGTATAATAACTTTCTGTGATTTAAACAACTTAGCAGATAAAAAGGCTGAATTGTAACAAGGGGACAAGCTGTGGCAGGGTTTGTTTTTTAGCAAATTTTGATGAAATTGAAAATAATGTTAAAACTTTAAAGGTAAATATGTGTGCTGCTGTAATCTTAAACATGTATTTTTCAAGCTAACTGTTTGAAGGAATGTGTTTAGAATAGAAAAACATAAAATTATTTGGCTGTTTGTAAACAGGTTTATTTGTGTTTATTTAATGGTAATTTCGTACGTGATAGTTAAAGCAAAAGACTTTGTCAGTAGCAATGAACTCTGAAGAAAAAATTTTGAAGAATTATATGCCTAAGACTACTTCAGTAAAATATTTTGAAAGAGTTAAGTAAGAAAAATGTTTATCTAAAATGTTGACATTTCTGCCTCATTTCCTATTGGGGGAAATAGTTGCTGATAAAGTGAGAAATTACACTTACTTTCAACCTTTCTACCATCACAAATTTATAGTAAATATGGCAGAAACAGTATATTTTGGCAATCTTTTATAAGATTTCTTTGTGCTTCCAGAAATGCTGTTTGGATTATCCACTTTGATCACTGTAAGTCTTATGTAAGTTTAGTTCCTTGCTCCTGAGCTAGAACCACTCCTCATTTGAATGAAAAGCTAAATAATTGAGATGCTAATATTATTCTTTGCTCTATGGTGGGATTTTCCTCATCATCTTTGATAGTAAACATTTCTTTGGTCTAACAGTTTGCTTAGCAGCATCTGCAATGCTTTAAAGTGATTTGGTGCCTTAATGTGAAAGTGCTTTATAAATCAAATGTACCACGAGTGTGTAATAGAAAGAATGGCATTTAGAATTTCCAAAAAAATTTTTTTTTTTTATTGGAAAAGTGGATATACAGAGAGGAGGAGAGACAGAGAGGAAGATCTTCCATTCGATGATCCACTCCCCAAGTGACCACAACGGCTGGTGCTGCGCCGATCTGAAGCCAGGAACCAGGAACCTCTTCCAGAAATCCCACACAGGTGCAGGGTCCCAAAGCTTTGGGCCGTCCTCGACTGCTTTCCCAGGCCACAGGCAGGGAGCTGGATGGGAAGCGGGGCTGCCAGGATTAGAACTGGTGCCCGTATGGGATTCTGGTGCGTTCAGGGTGAGGACTTTAGCCGCTAGGCCACACTGCTGGGCCCAGAATTTCCAAAAATCTAATACTTTTTCTAATACCTCCATTTAACTCTTTTTGTTTGGTTCTCAATTTCATCTTTTTTCTTACTTCATTTTGTTCCCCTTTTTCCTTCTCCCTTTGTGCAGTCCCTGGCACCCATTAGCATGTACAGTCATCATCTTAATGACAGGCTGGATTATTAGTTGTTCAGCACCATTTGAAGAATATGCATAGGACTTCAAAAAGTTCATGGGTAAAACTGGAATTAAAAGTGGAATTAAAATGTAAGTTTATATTGAGGCAAAAATTGAAAATCAGGAATTGAACGAGTCAAAGTTCATGAGGAGAAAAACCCTGATATATATGGATTTTAATTTTTCAACAAACTAAACTTATTCATTCCACTTCCCATAAACTTTTTGAAGTGTCCTCTCTGCTGTATCTGATCACTGTATTGTAATTCATCAACTGTTACTAAAGGGAAAATAGGTGTCTTCCTTGCGTTATTTCCTTCCTTATTTCCTTGTGTTCTACAAGTGAAGGAAACTTTGCTTCATTAAAATAGAAAAATAACATTTTAATCCAAAAACATGTTATTACATGTATTTATGATTAAAGACAACAACTTAAAAAGGATATGTTGCCAAAATAACATTTTGAGCAATAACACTGTCTAGTAAGGAGCACGGGGTAGAGATACTTTGGGATGGAGAACTGGCATGAAGATGAGGCAGTTTATTCTTTAGGGTCAGTTAGATTGTCATTTTGACTTCCGCTCTTGTATGAAGTACTATGAATTGCCAAGATTTTAGACTTCTGTCAGAGTGTCCAAGGGTACAGTCCAAGGCGGAATCTGATAGAAAAACACCTCTCTCCTCCTTTATTTGCCTGTTGTAAACAATTTTGGATGAGAGTAAAGGGGGAATTGTAGCTGTGTCTAAATATTATTCTAAATCATCACAGCCAAAACTGAATTGCTTTGATTGGGTCAGTACACTAGACCGAATACATCTTCTGCCAGTTTTATCACAGCTTCCAGGTGTCGGTTATTTACTTGCTAATTTGGTCAGATGGAACTGAAATTAAAGATGAAAGCCACAGATTAATGAGACTCAGATTTGTTTCACGTATTTATGGACTTTGACATTTTTGGAGATCACTCTAAGTATTATAAGATGGGAAAAGGTTGATATTTCAGTACTGTTAACTTCCTGTTGTAAGAAGGTATATATAACTAAAACTGAATAGTCGCTCTGCTCCTCCTCCCAGGAAAACTGGTTCATAACATGGGAATTGTCTCAGTTGTGGCTTATATTACAAATTTAGGCGAAGTGTCCATATATTCATTAATTAGGAAACACACAAGGCTGTAGGCATCCTAATGTCTTTTTATCATATAAATATTACACAAAGAAAACTTAGTACACTAAGTATATATAAAAAAAAACCCTTTACAATCTGTACACTTTTCCTTGCAGTTTGTTTACAGCATACATCTTTTGACAGAAATTCACAAATAAGTAAAAAGGCAAGTGCATTAACAAAATGACAGGTAACATCACTATTAATAAAATTGTTCCTTGTTTTTGGCAGACAAATATTTGCCCAACATTTTAAATCGGTACATTACACAAATTTACATCCTTGGCTTCATAAACAAAAACTTGTTTCACATTAGTTCTTAGGCTCCACTAATCCATCTAGCTCCACATGAATAATCCTGACTTATCCACTATAATTCTTTGGCTCTTGATGAACTAGGAAATCTGTGCTTAAGCGCCTTCATTTTACCCATTTTAGTGATGAGATTTGAAATATTGAGACCCTTTAGCCAGACTAATTACACTGATGGGATTTTTGAAATCCTATAGATTAGTTATATAAAATAGGATCCTTATTTTGGATCAAGGGTAAAAATGAACAATTTTACATTCCATGATATATTTAAAAATAACTGAACTATACCCTCTTTGGTCTGAATCAGAGGAAAAGAGTAACAGTGAAGAAAGTAGAGTACTAAATTATAATCTGTCATGAATTCATGTTCCATATGAAGCAAGCAACAAAGTGCTAGAGTAAGTTTATATATAAAATAGTCGACCTGGATTTTGAGATTTTTAAGTTTGAATTTAGAAAAGGATACATTTGTGTGTAAAGTGCTTCTTTAAAACATAATGAAACACTGTAAACTAGTTCTATATCACTAAAACTCAGTGCAAAGAGGTAAACCAGTGAAAACTGGGCTTTATCGGAGAAGTTCCTAAGTGATCTGATTCCTCTGGACAGGCAACACAGCCAAATTTTGCCTTCTCATCAGACTTAAGCTGTTGGTTTTAGACTTGAATGTTTTAACTAAGGTCATAATCTTGGCAATTGGTCAGGTTGTGTATGAGCTGGAACTCAGTACAGCACCAGAGTTCCCAAGCGAGGAAGCTAAGTCCTAGGAAACAAAATGGTCAGATACTTTTTTTTTTTTCAAACTAAAACAAGTTTTTGAGTAGCTGACCAGGCAACCATATGAGCCCATTTATCATTAGCTTTCATAACAGAAAAATAGGACTGTTACTTACAATTCTGTTCAGGATGCAGTTTATAACTTCTCTGTTTTACAAGAAACTGAACTTTGTGAATTTGTGTAAATGATTAAAGTTGTTTGATTCACTTGCACATTTTCTGTAGAAACAAAATTCCAAGCTACATGCATGCTTGTTATTGTATGTACACACTATATACATATATACATGCTGTCAGCTCTTACGTAAGCCACTAATTCAGTTAGCATACTTCTAAACAGTAGACAGATAAGCACAAATTGAGTTCAAAAAGAGTACTTCAGTTTACTTCAAAAAGAAAGATGGAAAATGAAGAATTAAACCGTTCTTTAGTCTGCCTCCTTAAAGTGGCATAAATGCCTAATTCTATCTACTGTAGAATGAAGACAGATTTGCAGTATATTGATTTTAGCTAACTAGCCAGTAGTATATGAGATGATGTTAGCTATGTTTTCAGTTACTTAATTAGATTACTATTTTACCGTAACTTAGACCACAACTATGAATTGACCTGAAGTTGGATAATGGCATGTTGTTTAATATACCCCGAGAAAGTTTTGGCTACGTTTCTAGAAACGCTCAGTAGCTATCGCGTTTATGAGTGTAGTGAGGAAGGAGGTAAAAGAGGCGAATTGTAATTCATCAGATGTGAGGTAGTGAAGTAGGAACCAGTTCAAAGAGTGCTGGGACTTAGAGGACATAAATCTTTCAGAATATGGATTTTTGTTTTTTCATTTTAAGCAAGCTCTGATGGGAAAGCGTAAATCCCTCAGCTTACGGAAAACATGTGGAGGAAGTGAATTCCTTTTCCAGAGGTTTTAGTTCTGAGAAAGAATCTCACGTGAGACAGTAACCTCTCCGGTAACTAGTCATGTTTTACCACACTTCTGGAGTTAGTTCCACATAAGGTTCGTAGCATGAATGGCTAAAAATGTCTTCAGTTGTCCTCTAAGTCACCTATACATTAAGAATTTTGGCAGGGGCTGCATGGAGTAACTGGCTTTTCCTTTTTACAGTATGCCCTAAAAGACAGTGTAAAGTGTCCCAGTTCTTTCAGTCTAAGAAATGAGATCTGTGCTATAGTCATTTACAGGGTTGTGTTGCTTTCGTCTCTGGGCTAAGAACAATCGCTCTGTTCCATTTGAGTGAAAACATGATTGCTTTTTTCAAGCTGAAGGGATTCTATTTTCTTCTGTGCGTATTTCAGTTGGATCTTTAGGGCATCATTATCTGCTTTCAGAGTATTGATTTCCTAAAGGAAAAGGAGAATGAGGTATGTTAATAAAGCAGCAGTGAATAGCAAAATCAGTCACGCTGGGAATATCACACTTGATTGGCACCTTCTATTCGCTAGGGCCAAGAATCAAAAACTATTTTCAAGACAGTTATTTTGCCCTAAATAGTAAACAAGTTAAATACCAAATGGAGAGCATATACAGACAGCAGTTCGTCTTTCTTGTAGCAAATGCAAGTGGCTCGCAGGCAGTCAGTCATTGCTGGGCATTGTTAGGTTAGCAGAAAATCTTTGGATGTAACATAGCAGGAGGCCTTCTTGGGAACTTTGTGACAGATTATATGATTTATTACATCTTAAGAGTTTTTCTCGCCCTAAGTCACTGAAACGTGCTTGCAGTTTTACCCAGCTGCCTAAACCGGGCTTTGGTGATATCATTTGTAGAGATCACCAAAGTACAGATATATAATTTGATTTCTAGTCCGTTTAAACCATGGAGATAACCCTGAAATAATGTGTAGGGAATGTCTGAGTATTTTTTAATACAGTTGGTTGTTTCTCAACCTGAACTATCTGGGTAGCTGTATATTAGCTACTGTGTAATGTCAGTTACTCACTTTGTGTGGCTGTTGAGTTAGATGATAATGGACTGTAACCTTCACAGGTATCCTGAATTGGATGCGATATCTCAATTTTGTAGAAGCAAAAAATGTTGCCACATAGTATCAGACTAGAATTTGAACCCAGATATGTCCAACCCCAAGAGCCTTTATATGCTTTTTCTTTATCTCATGTGATTCAGAGGTCCACATACATTTAATGTGATAAATGAATACTTTATTACATATTCTAAATTCTGTTGAATCAGACAAGCATATGAATTTTACTGGGAAAGTGGGACATGTTATTGTGCTTTTAAAACATACACAGTGAATTCGGGGTCTTAAGGTCCATTGGACACGATAAAAGTAAAAAGGCACTGGGAAGATGGTAGGATTTACTGGGTAGCAGTTAGGCTGGATCTGACTCATCTGAAAATTTTCTACTACCCTCTTTGTGGCCAATTAGATTGTCCCTTTTCAGAGATAATTAAATATCAAGATTGGATGCAAACTTTATCATGATATCTCAGCCCTGTATTTTACAGGCAACTGAAAAGGTCTTAGAATTTATAACTGGCTTAAGAAATGTCTGAGACCAGAAAACAAATCTAAGTACAAGGTATTTCCGATTGTACTGAATTATATGTCATGATTACTTTCAGTGTTGTTAAGAGCTGGATTTAGCAGTTTCTACTAAACGGTTGTGTATAATCCATGTTTTACCACCTAATTAGCTTGATTATTTGAAACAGGTCTTAAGAAATACTTTGTATTTTTTTTATCCAGAAAACCTATTTCATATATTCCTTCTAATGTTCCCTGCTCTGGGCACCTAATCAAGGCTTTTACTTTCATCGTCTAACTTTTTTCCAGTTTTTCTCTATTCATGGAGTCTGACAGAGAACATACAATGAGGGCAATCCAGGGAATCCCGAGGTTTTTGTGGGCCATAAAACATAGAATTTTAACCAGGCTGATGCTGGTTTATGTTTGGACTGTTACACTTCTAAAAACACCACAGACCGTGATGTTTTGGAAAAAAAGCAGATGGCATCTAACCCCCTTAGGAAAAGAGCAGTAATTGAAACAAATGTGTTTTTGTTTGTGTCTAAAATAACTTGCTACCAGTAATTGCAAAGAAATTGTTGTTCTGTGGCAAGAGATCTAAGGTGGCCTGCCTTGTAGGCTGTGTATTTTACTTTAAACAGCAAAGAAATGGATTAATAACTGTCCTTACAGAATTGGATATTTAGACCATTATCAGTTGTTCCTGGATGAAAGAATTTCTTCTGCTCCTGTCTCCTACTTTGCTTTCTTCTTTACATCTTGTTTTCTCAAACCCTGCCACCATATTACTCAACTCCTTTTTTTTTTCTTGGAAAACTTTCTTTCCAAATGCCTCCATGTAATACCTAATCATTACGGTATGGCACACCTATCAAGAAGTCACTTCCTAGTGCCATAATTGTTTTATAAATTGGACTGCTTTTGTGCATTTGGTTACTGTTGTTGGCTGAGCTGCTCTTAGAACTTCCAGAAAAAGGGCACTTCAGAAAGTTCACAGGAAAATGGAATTTGAGATTTATTTTGGTGTAGAACAGTTTGAAATCTATGCATGTGAAGAATCTTCAAAATGTACATGGAAATCATGCATTACAGAAAACTATATATGGATGTCTGATTTTTTTTGTACCCAAGTTAATCTGTTAGTACCATTATTTTACAGCATTGTTGCAAATACCCTGTATATGCCTGGGAGCGGGATACATTGCCTTAAGTTTTAGGTAATAGATCTATTGTTTATATTAAGGGGGAGGTATTTCCAGAGGTGAGCTGTAAGAAATTCACTGTCTTTTTAAAATGCTTTAGATTACCATATATTCTGCATTCTTAACAAAATATCTAGTATTGAGCATGTGTATACTTTAAACTGACTTTTCATTGTTTTTATGTTTGGATCCTACCAGCACTTCCAGTTCTTTATGCAGTATTTATTATGAAATAGTTGGCTGCAGTGTGCTGTAGAATGCTAGACCTTATTAGCTCTAGTTGTATTTCACTACTTTCTATCCATGCTTCTTTTATTCCTCCTCCCTCAACCATTCCAGTGTGTAGTAATCAGTATTCTAAATTCACAGACTTTTTTAAAATGAAAGAAAATACGTGATACTTGTATTTCTATGTCTGGCAACAAATGAATTTCATTGTTTTTATGGCTGAATAATATTCCCTTGCATGTGTTGACCACATCCTGTTTATCCATTCATCCACAGATGGACCTAGGTTGATTGCCCTTCCTGGCTATTGTGAGTTGTGCTGCAGTGAACATGGGTAGTGCAATTATTTCCTTTATTTTCAACTTTCATTTCCATAACATACGTATCCAAAGGTGGGATAGCTGGGGCCTATAAGAAAGCCATTTTTCGGTTCTTGAAGCCCCTTCATGCTGTATTTATTTATATTCCTGTTAACCGTGTATAATGGTTCCTTGTGTTCATATCCTCATATGCATTTATTTATTTTAGATAATAGCCTTTCTAGCTGTTATCTAGAGGGGGATGATTCTTCATTGTAGTCCTGACTTGCATTTCATGTTTGCTGCCTTTATTTTTCATGAACTGTCTGTTCATATCCCCCACCCATGTCTTCATAGGATGATTTAGTTGAGATCTTTCAGTTCCTTACATAGTCTGGATATTCTTTTCATATGAATAGTTTGCAAATGTTTTCTCCAATTCAGTCAGTTGTCTATTTCCTTTTCATGAAGAAGCTTCTTAATTTGATTTTGTACTATTTCTCTTGTTTTACTTTGAGGTCTAAGCTTTTGAGGTGTTATCTAAAGGTCACTGCCTATATCAGAGGTGTAAAGCCTTTATGCTGCCAAGGTCCATTTGGATATTATCATTTGCAAGCCATATAAAAATAAAAAGGTCTTAAATGTGGAGTAGACTAGTGCCAGGTTAGGGCCTGGTCCTCCAGCATGGGTTATGGGCATCCTGAGCAGTATTTTAACTGTTGAACCACAATACCTGCTGTTGTCCTTTATTCTTTTGATATGTGTATTTATTTATATACATTGTGCCATCCTTAGGATTAATCTGTTAATCATAAGGATCTTTTGAAATATTACTGGATTCAGCTTACTAGTATTTTGTTGAGAAATTTTGCATGTATGTTGATTAAGGAGGGATATTGGTCTTAAGTTTCTTATTGTGTGTTTGGGTGATTTAGAATCAAGTTAATGCTGGCTTCAAACAGTATGTTTAAAGGGTTCCTTCCCTCTCAATTGTGAAATATTTTGAGGATTATTCATATTAGCTTTTCCTTGAAAGTTTGGCGGAATTCAGCATCAGGGCCTGCTAGTCCTGGGCTTTTTTGTTGTGAAACTCTTGATTACAAGTTTAATCTCATGTTTTTTTATGTCTTGGTCAGATTCTGCTATCTGTATCCAAAAGTATTTCCATTTCTTCTAGATTTTCTAATTTGTTGGCATATAGTTGTTAAATGTTAATGGTTCCTCTTCATCCCTTTTTATTTTTGTGGTATTGGTTGTAACACCCTGTTCATTTCTGATTTCGAATGTTCTTCCTCTCTTTCTTGGTTTGTCTAATTTAAGTGTAGTAATTTATCGTTTTAAATGATGCTTTATTTCAGTGATCTTTATTATTTTGGTGTCATTGAATATCTGCTTTGAAGCTTATTATTTCCTGCTACTAATGTCAAATTTGCTTGCTTCCTGCTTTTCTGGGTCACTGAGGTACGCCATTAAGTTATCTGATTATTTGATGTAGTTACTATTAACTTCCCTCTTAGTGCTGCTTTTCTTAAATCTTTTAAGTTTTAAATACTGCTTGTTTTAATTGGTTTCCAGAAATGTTTGGGCTAATCTTAATTTCTTTAGGTACCCATTATTCATTTGGAAACATTTAGTTTCCACACTCATAAAATTCTTTAAGTTTCTTCTGTTGTTGGCTTGTAGTTTATTCATTGAGATCAGAAAAGATGTGCTCCCATTTTTGTTGTGTATGGAGATTGATTTTGCTGCCTAATGTATGGTCTGTCCTAAAGAATACTCCACTTTTGTTGAAAAAAATATATTACAGCTGTTGGATAAAATGTCCTGTAAATTTGGCACATCCCTTTAGCCTACAGAGTAATTCTGATCTTTTTTCTTTTTTGGTCTAGGTAAGCTGTTGACACAAGTAGGTATTGAAGTCTGCCACTTCTACTGTATTAGAGCTTATCTCCTGTTAGAGTTCATCTGTGTATACACAGATGAACTCACATACACATATGTGTATATATACATATATAAACACATATGAACTCTAAGTTAGATTTTAGGCATTAAGTGCTTGTAAGTTTACGCTTTTCATAGATTCTTAAAGGCGTGAGGTAATGATCCATTTATCTTTTTTGCAGTTTTTGGCTTAGAGCAGACCGAGACTTTAAGTATAGTTAATTCTGCCCCCACTCTGGTTTCTATATACATAGACCAGCTTGTCCCATCATTTTTTTTCAAATCATTCGGTGTGTATTTTTAATTGGGAAATTTATTCCATCTTATTTTAGTCCTGTCATTTAAAAAAATGTTAAATTATGAAAATACTCAATGTATAAGACCCACTAGAACATCAGATACTCAAACACTCAAATTTTATTTTCCTTTCAAGAATATTCTGGCTGTAATATTTTTGCTGGGAAATACGCTGCTCAACTAGTGGTGTAACTTAGAACTTTTCTGTCACGTTTTTTTGTCACTTCGTTTGGGTATTTTCTGGCCATGTCTTTGAATCCTGTGGACTATGACTATACTGGGTTAGTCAAATTTTTCTGAAGATTAGAGACATTTTCTACTCCTTTCTTTGTCCTTCTAATTCCTACCATTCAAATATTTGTTAGTACAACTGTGTCCCAAATGTCTCAGAGGCCATCCTCATTCCTTTTTGAAAGGTGAGGGGGAGTCTGAAAGATTTCAAAAGACTTCTCTTCAGGCTTACTCTTTATCCTGATTTAGCTAGTTGTTGTTAAAGCTCTCTCAATTATATTTTTGACTTACTGAGTTCTTCACTTCCAAGATTTATTTATTTTCATAATCTCTGCCTGCTGAGTTTCTCATTATGAGTTGTTTTCTGAATTTCATTAGGCTTTCTGTACTCTATTGTGTTTCTTTGGGTGTTCTGACATCCATTCTCTTACCTTACAGAATTTTTTGTCAATATCCTTTATTTTGGAATCTTTCATATTTCCTTTATCACTGCATTGGTATTTACAATCAGTTTTATTTAATGTTTTTTTGTAGTGAAAAGTTTTTTCCTGAAGATGTGTATCTGTGTGTGTTGGTTTGGCAGGCTATTCAGGCTCTAGTTCCAGTTGAATGCCAAAGTATCCTAACGTGTTCTACAGTAACAGCAGTCCAGTGTAGAGTACTCCTCTCAGTCCCAGCAAGGGATTCCATGGGATGCTGCTCTGGGGCAGAAATCCTAAGCTCCCTTTCTCATCCTGTCCTGCTGTCTCCGGCAGGCTGAGGGGTGGGGTGGTGAAACAGTCCTGTGTGTTTGGCTAAGTGGAATTCAAAGGTTCGTAGTGCAGGTAAAACCTTTGAAAGGGACTCTGTCTCTCCAGGCTTAGTATTTGTTTCAAATCAAAGAAAGGTTTGTAACCTGGGCTTACTTGGAGCTCAGCTTCGAGTGCAGTGGTTAACTTTTTATTTCATGCTTTAGTGCATCTTTACTGCTTAGACTAAATCTAGGCCCTGTGGCCTCTCAACTGGCTTCCTTAACTCTTGTGAAGGTGACTTGGTGTAAGAGTAGCTGTACAAACTGGTAGGAAAAACACCCTACAACCTGTAGAAACTGGTTACTCTCGTTAACCTATTATGAATAGGGCTCTGGGCACCGGTGCCAACACTGAAATGATGCTTACATGATGATAGGGAACCCTGTATATCCTGTACTACCTGTGTAATGGAGACTATGGCCTTCAGTGGTTTCTCTGGAGGGTGGGTGGACTCTGGCTTTTTCACATTCCTTCACTGCTCCTCCCAGGATTTGTTTATCCTAACAATCTGATTTGCATTCAGACTCTTCAGTTCACATGTTCTTCCTTGTTTAATCCCACATCTCCAAATTTAAGGGAAAAAATGAAAAGGAAGATACCTGTTCCAGCTCTTGGTAGGTTGGAAGTCTTAGGCGACGTAGCTCCTCCTTTGATTTTATGATAGATTCTTTATTCTCCCACTTGACAAACGCCCGCTTTCTGACCAGTACTGGGCTAGGGCATGGAGATGTGGGACTGGGAAGCACATACAGAGTATCTGGGGCTGTTTTCCTTGGAGAAGAAAGCACAAAGGGACCAGAAGGACCCTCACTGCCAATCCACGGTAGCGATTCGGTCTGCGTGGCCTTGTGGGCAACAGTCCTTTTCAGTCGCACAGAAATCTTCTGTGAAGATACTCCCATCAGCATGATGGTGCGATCCTTGCTCTCCTCACTGTGCTCTAAAACCTCCCCATTCGGAAATGTAAAGGATCCTTCCTCAGGTGCTGTGGGAAGATACACGACATTTTAGAATTGTGACTCAGAAAAGCAGAGACTTAAAATGAGATTCCCTTGTTGCAGGAGTTGCGTAAGTCCAAAGGGGACCTGTTTGCAGGCACCCAATTTAGAATACACAGAAGCTGGGATTCAGGGACTCACGGGCAAAGCCATGGATACTGTGCACAGACTGCCTCCCTCTTAAATGAAGGGCATCTTTTCCTATGTGCACAAAGGTTGCTTAGCGGGAGAATTTCTGCTTCTGCAGGTCAGTGGAGTCCCTGTGTCAATACTGTAAAGTTTTACAAGACAGCAGGATTCTTAGAAATGTCCTACAAATACTTTGTGACTGCTAAACTTTAAGAGTTTTCAATTTGAAACATGCAATAAGTTTAACCTTAATCTCTCTGAACTTAAGTCTGAAAGGGAAGGTTTAACTTTGTATTTCTCAAAATACCAATGAGAAAAAGACAAATGTGTCACACTTGTTTCTTCCTTGAAGCCCAGGACCTAACTTGGTAATTTCTTGGAAAAGTAGATTATGAGAAAGAGGGAAAAGTTAGGTTTTAAGGTAAACTGCAGATTATGTAAGTTTACATTTTTGCAAAATTGTATATTGGGATGAAAAAAATAATTTGGGAAATGAAATTGTTATGAAACAATTTTTTCCCATTAAAATTTTATAGTTAACGTACTGAATAGTGAAAATAGCCTCTTAAAAATGCTCTAATTAGTAATAGATACTTGCAGTTCACATGCTTGAAATGCTTTTAAGGATCCAAGTTTCTCTTGAGGACATAGTTGAATTTATACTAATGAAGGTCAAAATTATAACTAATTATTAAAGTATTGGAATATTTAGATAATCACTATGAAATTATTTCTGGGAAAATGTTGTGATGATTTGATCAACCCTAGCCCATAAATTATGAATATCATTACATCTGTTAATTATGTTTATTTTGTCTTTTGTCTAGGAATCTGACTTTTATTGTAGAGATATTAAGGGCAGCCCCCCCTTTTTGGGAAAATCATGAAGAAAGCAAGTAAGAAAATAGCCAAAGAGCAATCCCTTAAAATTGTAGATGAGTTCCAGGAGATCACAGTATTATAACAAGTCATGAGGTAAATGTTTATCTTCTTGCTCTCCCTTCAGTGCCTACTTACCATGGAGAAGGTCTTTGGTCCCCAGTGGACATAGGTTGGACATTGATCCCACAGAGATGCTGTTCTCTGTGGAAGCTGCTAGATTCTTAGCTCGCTTCTTGCACTCAAACACAACTAGGTCTTTGCATTGTTTGTGGCAGTTCATCCCACAGTCTGCAGACAAGACACTTTGGTTAGGAAGTCTTTCTCCATTGAGTGCTCTGGTTGGGTATGTCTAAACTGTGGAGCTAGAACCCCTGACGCACCTAGCATTCTGACTTGGTAAACACTGCATCTCAGTCTTGCCAGGGAATCTGAAAAGCAGTGCCCTGATCATTCTGCTTACTCTCAGCTCCTCTGGATGCTCGAAGCTATTAGGTCTTATTCTCTGCAGTGGTTTCTCCTGCAGTTATTTTCTTAGATAACTGTGCTGATAAAAGTGATAGCTGACAATAGCTTTTCTCGTGGAGTTGTGATTATCAAGAATCCGATTTTATTAGAAAGTTAAATATACAGAGAGGAAAATCTTCTGTCCACTGATTCACTCCCCAAGCAGCTGCAACAGCTGGAGCTGTGCCAATCCTGAAGCCAGAAGCGCGGAGCCTCTTCCAGATCTCCCATACAGATGCATGGTCCTAAGGCTTTGGGCCATCTTTGGCTGTTTTCCGAGGCCACAACCAGGGAACTGGATGGGAAGAAGGGCTGCCGGGATTATAACCGCTGCCCATATGGGATCCCAGCGTGTGCAAGGTGAGGGTTTTAGCCACTGAGCTGGGTCCAAGAGTGAGGTCTCTTATCAGCTACCCCTTTTCCCATAGCAACCAAGATAGAGGGTCATATGGCAAGAATAGGGACCCTTTTCTCTGGCAAAAGCCATTTGGATATGTGTAACATATGTGGGTCATATAAAGTTAACAACTTGAAAAATTAGCCTGTGGGCTGGCATTGTGATGTTAAGCTGCTGCTTGCAGTGCTGGCATCCCATATGGATGCTAATTCAAGACCTAGCTATCATCTGTTAATGCACCTGGGAAAGCAGAAGAAGATGGCTCAGTTCCTTGGGATCCTGCATTCATTTGGGAGACATGGGTGAAGCTCTTGGCTTCTGGCTTTGGTCTGTCTAAGTGCTGGCTGTTGTGTACACTTGGGGATGATCAGTGGATGGAAGAGCTCTCTCAAATAACATTTGATAAATCCTGTGCTTAAATGTCTATTTGAGTCCTGCCTGTGGTTGCCTTGGCAGGGCCAGACCCGATGATTTTGCTAAACTCTAGGCTGGATGTTTCCCAGCCATGAAAAACTGAACTGGCTGTCTAGGTGTTGCTGCGCAATTCATGAAGTGCTAAGTCTCTTGGATACTGTAGGGAAGCCAATAAGGAATGTAAGGATAAGGCTTAGGATACTGCTGACAAGTTGTAAGTTGAATAGACAACTATGTGTAAAAAAAAAACTTTTTATAGAATAAGCCCTAACATCAGGGGGAAAAAAAAATCAATCTTACCTTTACAGCGATATCCTTGTTTGATCACTCCCCAGAGCTGTGGGATAAACAGAATGTATCACTCTTGCAGCCTCACACTAGATGGAGGACTGAGTTAACATTGTTTTCCTTCACTCTATTCTCACTCAAGTGGGAAAGACATCTACCTTCTCTCTCAGATCTTGTCCCTCCTGAACTTGAACTGAAAACAAATTTTGTGCTCATCAGTCATTTGTTCTCAAGAAGCTCACTGCAATGGATTTACTCCCCAGACTTCTCCAGGTTTGGAGCAGATATATCACAGGACACATTGGCTCTGTACTGAGAAACAAGTGTGTATGGTCTTGGTCAGAAAAGAAAACCCAGGTTTACGAGAAAGATATGGATCAAAGATGGAAAAAGCGGTGAACTCAGACGACATTGTAAAAGGTAGTTTCTTTTGTAGGGAAGAGGCAAGGTTCTCATTCTTTTCTGATATTTGAAACAGTGTGTAATTGTAATTCTTTGAAAGTAGATTACCCAATTCAGTATTTCTGTGCCATTTACCGTAAGCTACATACACCAGGGAGGAAGAGATGAGACTGGATAAGTGCCAGTGATAACCACACACATGACCATATGCAAGTATCTAGGTGTTTGGGCTTGTTAGACCTATGCCTGTCTTATGCATTTAAACTGCTTTGCATCCCTCCCCAAGTTCAACCATGAAGCACTCTAAGAACTTACAAATCCAGCACAGTTGTCACAGAAGGTGGGCTTCAGGTAGGTGGTCTCTTGGAAGTTGTGAGGAAAGCCCAGGCCTAGCTTGGAGTAGATTGAACTGGCCCTCATGAAGTAGGCTGTGATCTCGTCCCTGCTGATGAGGCCTTCCCTGCCAGCAAGCGACAGCAAGGCAATGAGTAAGGGACATGGGTTGCTAAGGTGGCTTCTATCCCTTAAAAACAAAATTTCTAACCTTAAATAGTTATACTGTGTGTTTAACCTTATAATTATTTCCAGATATACTCCTTGTATCAAGGGTCTAAAGTAGCATGTAATTAATAGGTAAGGCAGCATTACTTGTTTCCACAGAGTTAGATTTTTCTAGCTAATTTAGCCATTTTCTTTAAGACTTGAAATGTTATAAAAATTATTTATAGGAACAAAATACCTTTTGGTATGGTGTCTGACTTTAGACAGTATATATCCTGAACTCACTAACCGTATTTGACTTCCTAAGGAGAATTAAGATAGAACTTTGAGAAAAATTAACTATCAATGATTTTTCATAATTCGTAAGGACAAAGCCAAAAAGGAAGATTTTACCTTTTTTTCATAATTGATGATTCATTCCTAGACTGGAACATATTCTGAACCTTCAGTTCTGAGGTGTTTAGAAAAGCATGCCTATTTCATGGCTTATTTGTGGTCCAAAGTAAAGAGAAGCCTTCATTTGATTGTTCTTTCAGGGACAACTTTAACCACAGCAGCTGCACACTGAAACCTACAATTCTAGCGGCACACCTGGAAGCATGTTGTCCGCAGTGCATCATCACCGTGCCATCCACACAAAACCTCACCTGTCTTTGTCCATCACACAGAAGGAAAATGGAAAGCTGGCAGCAATTTTTTCAAACTCTTCTTGAGAAATGTATCCATCCTGGTCATGATCATAGTTCTTGAAGACAGACTGTGAAAAAAGTTTCTTTTGATTACTAGCTAGAAACCAATCCTTTCTCCCAGTAACCAAATGGTTAATGATCTGAGTGGAGGGATAAAAGCCTATCAATAGCTGAACAAGAGGAACAAGGAAACTTGCTCCTTTGGCTGAGGCAAACCAGGCTCCTGGATGGTGCCAGCATCTGAAGGATGGCCTTGTACTTTGTCATTAGCATGTTCCTTGCACCTTCACCTTGGCTGCGGTGTCCTGGAAATTCATTGCACAGTGGGTTGTTCTTCAGTTGCTCCTTCTCTGAGCAGTGCATTCTCTCCCTGTTCTCATTGTTCTGCTCTGTTTTTTCTTACATGGGAATGGCCCTTGAGGTTTAAATGCAGAACTATGAAAATCTGCACTCCCTTCTTTTGCATTTAGCATAGAGAACTTAACCAAGCACAGCCAAATATGCAAGTTTTGAATTGGGCTGCTTATCCTTATTTGGACTATGCCCAATACCCCTCTGTCCATAAGCCAACCAATAACCTTTAAACTTTCAGTCATTTGCTAAATCTTTCAGGAGAAATATACTTGATCCCACGTTAGGCCAAAGTGTGGGAAAAACATAACTTCTTAAGTTTTCCTTCTACAAAATGAGGAGTGGTTCCTGTGATTACAGAAGAACAGGTGTAAGTTTTTCACCTTTTGTTTCCACTCTGTTCCTTCTCAGTTTTCTATCTTATAGCTGATAAAAGTCAGCTGTACTTACATCCACCATCCTCTGGACGTGTTTGCTGATGGTCTTTGGGTCGGGTTTTGGAGACACTCCAGAGGCCCAGTCCACTACTACTGGAGGCTTTGAAGGAGTCAGTGGCTAAAATGAAACATTCAGAAAAGCTTCATTATTACAATGCAATATTATAAATATCACTTCTTCCTTTTACTACCTGACAGTTTCATGGACAATCCTTCACTGTCGGCAGTGGCAAGGAACAGAAGTCTACATGTAACTCATCTATAATCATCATGTTGACTGACACAAGTATTTTGCTTTACAGTTCCCAATATGAACTGCACATCATCTCCCACTTCCCATAATTAAGCATCCTCAAAGTGCCCAAGTTTCAGCTCCCTCTCTATTAACCCCTTTGTTAGAGCTTTCAACAAAGAATAATATGCGTCATTTAAATGTCTGTGTTCTCTAGACACTTTTAGTGGAGATGTAGATGAGGAAACAATTAGATAAAAAGCCAGCAGACATACAAGAGAAACAATCTGAAGTCTGGATAAGCTGAGATTGAATCTAGTCTTAAATATTTCAAACTTAGCACAAAAGTCTTTTCCATACCTCTAACACTCTGAAAATATAATCTATTAGATGTTTTCAGTGAATATGTTTATAATTGGAAGCTAGACCTTGATGTGTCTGTATACATGCAATGAAATTTAGCCACCTGAACAGAGCTGGGTTTCTCATGTGTAGATGACTTCCCCGGGTATCACTTGTTTTCTGTAGGGAAGTCTCCCAGGGAGTCTGCAATGATTTCACTTGTCTGTAGGACAGGGGTGGCCAGATAACTATGAATATCAGGACTCTGATATTTGAGGGCTTCCCAACTAGAAGGTTCAATGACCCAGTATATTGCTTTCTGACCACACCACTACAGGATAATGGGGCTTTCCTAACAAGCTGTCAACATCTGGATATAGAGCATATTGCTGTCATCAGTGAAGTGAACCCTAGAAATATGTGGGATGCTCTTAGGCTGGTGGTGTCACTCCTGAATACTGTCTCCTGTTTTTAATCTGTGAACAACTGTTGATTTCACTAATCTGACCACTGCTGTGGGTTGGAGTTAGTTGCCTTTCAGTAAACTAGCCATTGGTTCCACTCAATCACAGGCAGAAATGATTTCTCATACTTATGTTGGGAAGCTTTATCGGTTCTTAGCACAAGGTTGGACACTGTTCGTCTTAAGATCAACTTTTAGTCCATTGAAAAACTTACTGGGGCTCTGTGGTTCCTTGGTTCCCGTGCATAAGAAAGTTCATAGATTTCATCTTCGGTGTAGTAAAGATCCAAGGATAACTGCAGATCAAAAGACAACAAGTATTTTTTTTGCTAGGATACAATGCATCTTTCCCAGGGCTGACGTTTGCTTTGTTTTTCCTCTCCAGTAGATTAAGGCTCTTAACTATAGGACAAGCATTGATTTTTTTTTCCTAAAATGTTTTTAAATTTTGGAACAGTTCCAAGATGCCCTGCTTTTAACTATGGCTTACTGCCCAGGGCACAAGCCTTATCGGTCCAGTTGACCCACGCTTTACTTCTCTCCCTGAGTAGACACTGTGACAGAACGGGTTGCATGGCCTAATACTATAAAAGTTTGAATCCAACAGAATGCATTTTAAAGCAGGTATTATTAATTGCTAATAGGAGTCCATAAGTTCCATACATCTTAGAGTCTAACATTTTAGAGGACATATCCCAGAAATATTGTTAACCTTAAGTCTCTGGCCAGGATTTAGGTGCTGTAGAACTTGATGAGGTTGCGTGCATGTTTTTTTAATGCAGTTTACTCACCACAGGATTTGCGATTTAAAAAGTCAAGGTGCAAGCCAGCCTTGTTTTATATATATACACATACACACACACGTTACATATACATATATAAATGCTATGCCTGAGGTGATCTGTCTGTCACCTGGCTAATAAGCAGAAAGAGCTAAAATCAGAAACCAGGATTGGATTTCAGCAAGATGTGAAATTAGGCTTCAAGAGGTTCTGATCATTATTCTATTTGAAAACTAATTTTACAACAAGAAATTAAAGTCACCTTAAGAGTAGGCCCTATGGATTTACAGAGGACTGCACCACAGATAAGTATTTACCCTTAGCTGAGTCTCTGGGAGAAGGGATCAAAGCCAGTGATGGCCAACCCAATAATAATTCTGTTGTGTTACTCACTGCTTTGCCCTTTCCTCTTGAAATGACAGCACATTGTCTCCATCTGTATTCTAGCTTGTATTCTAATTGCTATCAGCCCCTTCCAGGGAACTTAGGACAGCTTCTGCAGGAATAGGAAAATATTCAGAAAAATCTGCAGGGCACAGTACTTAAAGAGCAAAACCCCTGGAGACTCACCACAGGGCTGTGCTACCTAAGCATGTTCAATCCTCTGGCAACCTCTGCCCCTGTGCCTAATTTTACTTCTTAACAGTTTTTGAAAATTAACCAGACTAATATGGTAAGGTATATAGAGTGGCACCTGACAAAGTTCTTGGTAATTATTCTCCAGTGTGAACCTTACCGTTAGCAGGTGTACTAAGTCCTTGTTGGCATCCAAAGGTGGTGCTACCTCTTGAAGCTGGACCAGTTCATTGATGTGATTGTAAAGGGCCAGCAGCTTGTGCACATTGACCTTTCCATCCTCCAGGTAGTCGGGCATAGCTTCATACAGGGAAATAAGGTCCTTGAGGTGCACCCCTAGGATGGGGATCTTGAAGTGGGTGCACTCGCCATAGGCTCGCCGGTAGTTATCATAATTTCTGCAGGAGGACAGCAGTTCAGTCATCTCACCCAGAACCTACAAAGAACAACACACCAATCAGAGTCTGCACGAGCTGTATTGTCTGTAATGACCAGCCTTGATTACTGTCATCCCTAATTCGTTAGGCAACGGGCTATTCATCAAAAAGGCTAAGGCTAAATTTTTATTAACAGAAGACATACTTTATTTGATTGTAATATATAAATTTTTAATGGGGTTCTAGCATTTTTAGGCTAAAAGTTAGTTTTTAAAAACAATGCAAGTACCTAATAGAAAAGTTACAAGCATGGGGTGAACTTTGTAGCACTGAAGGTTAAGCCACCACTTTGGATGCCTGCATGCCATGTCAGAACGCTCTGTTTCCAATCCAGCTTCCTGCTGATGTTCTTAGGAAAGTAGTGGAAGGTAGCCCAAGTACTTGGGTTCCCTGCCACCCACATGAGAATTCCAAATGGAGTTCTAGGCTCCTGGCTTTGGTCCAGCTGTGGCTGCTGTGGGCATTTGGAAAGTGACCCAACAGACGATCTCTACTTCTCTTTTGTACCATTTTTCAGATAATGAATAATTAAATCATCTTTAAGAGTAAATGTGTTGCTCTACTAAGCCATGCAGTTACCATACCTAATGTCTTCGGAAGGCCTCCAGAGGCATTGTGCTTGAAATGTGAAGGCAGAAGTGCTGACTGTTGCTGGCATAGGGGAAAGCATGTGTTACATAGGTGTGGGTCTTTAGGAGTCTGACATGTTCTTTATGAAGTACCCTTGGGGGTTTATCTCAGGATTCTGAAAACAGGCCTATGTGTTGGAAGCAGGTGACATCCTATTCACAGACTACTGAAACCCTGAACCAAAGACAATGAATAGACCAATTCCAAGCAAAGAGAGATGAGGTAGAGGTCCTATACCAGAAAGTTTATCATAGCTCATGTGCTGCCTCAGCCCCGGAAGTAGAGACTGCTGCTTGCAGCCAGGAAGAGAACAGCTGGATCTGGTGTTGCTTTCAAACATTTCTGGTCCATGTGAGGATGCAGCTCACAGAGCCCCATCCCCCTAGCCTTTTCAGAAGCCAAAGAGGTGATATGAAAGACTATTACCAATCATGTTAATGTAGGAAATAACCATTTTAGGCCTTGGGCCTGCAATTCGTTCCATATATAAAATTTGAAGAGCTTGAGGCTTTGAAGTCAGATCCCCTGAATCCCTCAGGAGAGCCTCCTACATGCCTCCAGCAACCCAGTGCAGGTAAGTGTGAAGTATGGAACATGCTCACACACAGTGACCAGCACAAACATAACAGGGCTGGTTGTATTCCCTTGAGATGGTAAATTCAGCTAACTGGGAGGCCCTGGCTTCATTAATGGAATTACTAGTTTATGACACATGGCCCCGGGGGGGTCAGGTAGGGCAGACAGGAAGTATTGCTGCAGGGAAGCCCAGCGAGGAGGAACAAATTCTGTCTTTTGAAATATATGACAAGAAGGCATATTAATCTATTACTGTCTCTTCAGTCAGGCTTAAGGCTGAAGTTCTGTTTTGATTCCAATATTTGCAGATGGGCACCTCCTCTAAAAGGGGGCTAACCACCTGGTAAAAATGGATAGGGGCAACGAGGCTCAGGTATCTCCCCAAAGGAGAAAGATGATTCTATTCCAGCTTGGGAAGACAGATTTGAGTATAGTAAGGTCCTCAAAGACAGTTTATACCCTGAGTATGCTGCAGTCCTAAGTCATAAAAAGTATAGGTAAATTCTGTAAAATTGAATGTAGGAAAATGCATAGGGCACTTAAGGAAACTATTCCTCCATAAAACATTTGCTACAAAATGATTTCTGAAAAACTATTATCTAGAAAAATTCCACTAACCAAAATGCTACTCTTCAAGCATTGTGCATAAGGTTGTAAATAACTCACGGTATGCTGAACGTACCACCTGACCTGCTATTTGCAACATGGACCCTGAAACACTGTTCTTTCTGGGAAAAGGTTTTGGAGCAAAAAGCTAGAGCACAAATATCAATATTAAAGATAATGTATTACAGTTTCATGGGAAAGAGGCACATGTTAATAGGCTCAACAGGAACAAGTGTAGTCTCACTGATCCTCCACCCTGGGGGTTCCTTTGGGGTTTGCTTGCTTGGCCTTTGCCTGGTTCACAAAGGACAGTATGATTTGGAAATGCTTTCTCAGTTGCCCCCAAGAACAGAATGCTGGCACCTGGCCTGGGAATGCTCAGAGGGGCCCCAGAAGACAGCACTGACCTTGTTGATTTCATGTGGGACATGTGAACTGGTCTCCTTCAGCCTGGAGATTGAGCTGTGGCACAGCCCACCTATCACAGCCATCAATGTATTGAAGTTCTGCAGCTGGTGGAGCTTCTGTGACACAGAACAGATGAAAGTCACCATACATGTTAGTTACAAGGGGGAGCCTAGAGATTTTGCGGCAAGTCTTCTTACACCAAAGACTAGTGAGCAGGTGCTATGATTTTCTGTCCACTGCCCTCTTTCTGCTCGGTTCCAACCAATGGGTCCGCAGTCTGGTCAGTGGATCTCCATTTACATCAATTATTTGTAAGAATCACACATGTTTTGGGAACACAAATACTTCTGGACCCAAACTCCCAGAGTCAAATTCCATGGACCTGGGATTGGGCTTAGAGCTAAATTCATTTGCTTCTAGCAGTCTTAGTTAAGATCAGACCAGATGCTCCACATAGCAGAGTTAGAAAACACTAGTCTATACCATCATTAAGAGAAGAATATATCATTAAGGATAAGTTCTCATTTCTTTAAAATTGCTAGGCTTGTTTTTGAGGGTGAGGAATTTATTTAATTCTCTAGTGCAATGCCAGTACCCAAATAGGACAGTGATTGGGTTAAAGAATTTCTAGGTAATTTCAAATCTGGGCATTAATATCTGTTCTCTCTCTTACCAAATGTTTACTCTCTGACCCTGAAGCATGAAGTCCAGCATGAGTCTCTAGTTCTAGAGATAATCCTACTAGGCCTGCACTGGAGCAACCCAGAACTGTTTTTTCTTATGTCCTGTGGGCCAGATTTTGGAAAATTATGTCAGCATCTTTAACAAATGTTAAAACGTCCAAGCTGACCTTAAAAAAGTGTCCTGACCCCTAAGACAGTCCATGTTGTGTTTGAATGAAAGAACAGAGAAGTCACCACATCTAGATTCAGAAATGGATCAAACACCACCTATTTTAAGAGGGAAGAACAGTTCTAAAAGATGGACTGGTTGGACTGGAGGTGGGAGGTGGGGAGAGGTTATTTATCTCATAGGCCAGGCTAAATATCTTAAAGTAGACACTCACCTGAGCCACTTGAATGAACTTGATGAAGACTTCAGCTCGGAGCTGCGGGGTGGGGCGGCTGAGAACCATCAGCTGTACCCACTGGGAGATGCCGTTGCACAAGGCAATAGACCGCTCCATGGTGGGGTTCTCCTTCACACAGCTATTTACAAGGTAATTTTGGTAGTCGGAGAACTAGAGGGGAAAGAAAGAACCATCAGGACTAGGCTGTGGGATACCACGAGAAACAAGGGCAAGTCAGCTACAATTAAATGATGGCTACAAACTGCCATGGGATGCAGGGCTCCTTGCCTGTACTGTACCACTTGGCCAACAGGAATGCTGGACAACAGACTACATCAAGTCATTAGACTTAAGTGGATGTGTGTTAACCCTATTTAATCCAAACACTGCCTCTCCACAGATCTTAATATTGTTCCTTCTAAATTCAAAAGGATGAAGTCAAAGAAAAAAAGGACAGTATTGGTTCCAGTTCTGCTGCTAAATATAGGGGGAAAAACAGTAATTCCTCTCACGAAACTAATTTCTTTCCTATGTTACAGTAAAAATTTGATGAGACAATCTGCCTTATTTAAAATGAGATTTTTATAAAGATGAAAGATTTGTAGAAACACATCAGAGTGCCGGCAAATGCAAGGTGGTACTAATGGTATTATTAGTGGCTCATGCGGAAACAAATCTGTGTAGATTCCCTTCATCTAAACAATTTGATGGAGGGCAAGCGAGTGAGTAGAGGAAGTGGTCTAGTTGGTCATTATAGTTCCGCCAACTTGACAATGGCATCGGCTGTGGTTTGACAGCCTATGTGTAATTGGATCTAGCCTACCTGGTGACAGTAGTTAGAGTGCCCCTGTCACAAAGTTCCCTCTCTGCACAAAGAGTAGAACCAGGGCCCAGCGCAATGGTTCAGTGGCTAAATCTTCACCAGGCAAGTGCTGGGATCCCATATGGACACCAGTTCATGCCCTGGCTGATCCATTTCCAATCTAGTTACCTGCTTATGGCCAGGGAGAGCAGTGGAGGATGGCCCAAAATCCTACACCCTTATGGGGGACCTGGAAGAAGCTCCTGGCTTTGGATCAGCTCAGCTCTGGTTGTTGCATCTGTCTGGGGAATGAACCAGCAGATGGAAGATCTTTCTCTGACTTTCCTCCTGAATCTAATCTGCCTTTTCAATTAAAAGTCTTATTAAAAAGAAAAAAAAAAACAAACCAGTAGAGCCAAGAAGAGGGGATCACCTGCTCTCTTCCAGCTCTCTGGGGGGCAGTCTTCGCTGTCATTTCCCTTCAGAATGCTCCCCTTTGAAAGCAAGTGTGTCTGTGATAGGGGAAGTGATGCGGCCTTGCAGGGAAAGATTGATGAGCCCATGAATGATGACTTGCCATGCTGTCCCCCTCCCACTCCTGAGATTGTAGAGATGCAGGTCTAGAGGAAGCTTCCACTAACCAGGTCCCTGGGCTGCTCTGAGAGGCGGCCACTGCTGCTCCATGTTAAACATGTCAAGTGAGTACCAACAACTTTTGCTCTGTTAAGACCACAAAGATTGTTGTGAGTGGGAGGAGGCCTTGAGTCCTACCACAGCAGTGAGTACACTGATGGGCAGACCTCCTACCCTGAACAGTATAGGGATGAATTCACTGTGCTGCACTTGACTGTGCTGTGAATGTTGATTAGTACGGCAAATGTGAGTAGAACCAAAGTCACTCCTTAAGAGAACTATAGAAGGGGCAGGGAGAGCGCAATCTTCCTAAGAGAAAGCTGCCGTGACACCCGACGGGTGCATTTATACATCCTCCACCTCCCCACCCACTGCAATAATTATAATCTTGAATCTAAGACTTCCAAAAGAATGATCCTAGTTATTTCACATCTCCCCCCAAAAGATGCTGTAATAAACCAGAAAACATCAAATGCTTTTCAGTTCAGAGAGAAATGAACTTCCCTCCAGCCTTAAGTTGAAAAGAAAATAATTGTTTGGGAAACAGTTTAGATATAAACATTTTCAAACAACCTTCTAGGAAAGGACTCTTGTCACTAAAAATAAACAAAAATTCAGACCTGTATCTTCGCTCACAAAGAGAACACTGCTCCACACTGCCCCACCCCAAGACTGGCTCACATTCCAGTCCTGCCTTGCTTGCTCACGCCACCCTGCTGATCTGCATGCGCACCAGCAGCACCTAGCAGGCAAGTCACACTGCTGGTCTGGCCCCAGCACGGGTCAGGTTTCCAGTGCTCAATGGCTTTCTCAGCCGCTCTCAGTCCTGACTGGTTTCCTGTCCTGTGGCAGAAGCAGCATTACCCAATGGAAAGTCCCCAAGTGGAGCCTCGCACTGTGGGGAACAGGGGGAGGGAGGTGGTGTGGGGAACCTGGGGTTCCAGAGTGGCAGTGAAGTGAGTCAGGGTTGGAGCAGGTTAATGCTTGGATACTAACTTTCCAGTGGAAGTTTGTGGGGGGGGGCAGGTTTAGCCAAACAGCTGTGTGCAAAGACAAGTGAAGTCCCCATTCTGGTTGAAAATAGAAGTAGCTTTTGAAACCCGGTTTGAATCTCCACCCAGATCCACCTGTACTCGGTGCTGAATGAGTGAGGAGCACGCAGGTACAGCCCCGCTCTGACAAGCTGTGCTGGCTTTGTTCAAGTCGGCCCTGTGGATCACCATCCCCTCACATGGAACACAGGTTGTTCTGAGAAATGCGCTTACCAACTAGGCAGTCTCCATTCAAAAACAAACCTGATGACTTTGTCAGAGGTGGTGGGGCTCTGGGTAGTAAGTCTTTCACTTCCAGGGGAAACGCAATGGCCAGCCAGATCTGTTGTCATCTGACATGCTGAGAGTTACTCCCGTACAGAACCAACATTGTTTGGTATCACAGATGGAGTTATGTGGATTGAAGTGAATATAGGCTCACCCTGTTCTTGGTAAACAGTAAGATGTCTTTCCCTTTCCACCACCGGGTGCCTCTGGTTCTGCACAGTCTGGGTCAGTGCAATTTACCTGCGGAATCATGGTGACTTGCCAGGCCACAGCAGCACTACTTCAGGGATTTAGGAATATTCTGGTCTAGATGCCACTGATCTCCCCGAATGTGATATTTGAGAGTGCCCAGCAGCACAGAAGGAGTCTTGAGGGTCAGCAAGTGGAAGGGTGGTTGGCTTCTATTTTCACAGCTCCCTCCACCCAGAATTTTCCTTGTGCCCCTGAGGTACATACGGAAATCCGCCGGAAGGACTTGAATTCAAGGTAGGTGAGGTGCTCAGACAGCTCCTCCGGCTCCAGGTGGTCGAAGAGCAGGGATACCTTCCGTTTCTTGCTGGTATTTGACTTTATCCGCTGAGTAAGTTTCCTGGACCAGTCACGCGCATTGCTGTTGTGGGAAATGTGAAAAGGAAAAAGAACAAATTAAAACTGCCCTTTGCAAACAAACCCATGAATATTTCCCCTAAGAATAGACAAAGCACTGTTAGCTTGCTCGTCTTGGCTAAAACAATGCATTTTCAGAGTTTCGCCAGCTGAATTGTTTTCTGTGGTAGCAACCAGCAAGCTTGGCAGCCAATAAGCCCTGAAAGAGTACAATGGGGACTATGGCAAATGGGTTGAGGACAGCAGGCAGGGTGGCCATTTGGCCCGGCCACTGACGCTGCTGTGTCATAGGGTCCGAGTTCAGTTCTAGGCTGTGGCTCCCGACTGGGTTCCTCATACAGATCCGAGGAGGCAGCAACAATGAAGCAAGAGACTGGGCTCTCACCACCGACACAGGAGATCTGGATTAAGTTTCATCTGGCCCAGCCCTGGTCATTGTGGACATCTGGGGCATGAAGCAGTGGAAATGAGTTCTTTCTCTCTGCCTCTCAATGAAGTTTAAAATCAGTTGTTTTGGGCCCAGCACGATAGCCTAGTCCTTGCCTTGAATGTGCCACGAGGATCCCATATGTGCACTGGTTCTAATTCTGGTAGCTCCACTTCTATCCAGCTCCCTGCTTGGGTCCTGAGAAAGCAGTGCATGATGGCCCAAAGCATTGGGACCCTGCACCTGCATGAGAGACCCAGAAGAAGCTCCTGGCTTTGGATCGGCTCAGCTCTGGCCATTGCAGCCACTTGGGGAGTGAATCACCCAACAGAAGATCTTTCTGTCTGTCTTCCTCTTTGTGTACCTGACTTTCCAAAATAAAAAAATCTTAAAAAACAAACAAACACAGTTTTAATCCAGTGGGAATGACAAAGGCTCAGGCACCAACCTTTTCACCTTTGGTTCTGGTTCCTGGTTTGTCTGTTCTCTCCATGCCCCTATAGTGCTCCTCCACTCTCATGATTAAGGTGGCACCCCCCCCCTTTTAAAAAAGTATTTATTGGGCCCGGCAAGGTGGTGCAGTGGTTAAAGGTCCTCTCCTTGCACGCCCGGGATCCCATATGGGCGCCGGTTCTAATCCCTGCAGCCCCGCTTCCCTTCCAGCTCCCTGCCTGTGGCCCGGGAAAGCAGTCCAGGACGGCCCAAAGCTTTGGGACCCTGCACCCACGTGGGAGACCCGGAAGAGGCTCCTGGCTTCGGATTGGCATAGTATCGGCCGTTGTGCTCACTTTGGGAGTGAATCATCGGATGGAAGATCTTCCTCTCTGTCTCTCCTCTCTGTATATCTGTCTTTCCAACAAAAATAAAATAAATCTTAAAAAAATATATTTATTTATTGGAAAGTCAGAGCCGATCCAAAGCTGGGAACCCAGAGCTTCTTCCAGGTCTCCCATGCGGGTGCAGGATCCCAACACTTTGGACCATCCTTGACTGCTTTCCCGGGCCAAAATCGGGGAGCTGGATGGGAAGTGGAGCTGCCGGGATTAGAACCAGTGCTCAGATGGGATCCTGGCACATGCAAGGTGAGGACTTTAGCCGTTATGTTACTGTGCCAGGCCCGAGGTGGCACCTCTTTGGGGACACTTTGCATGGCAGGAGATCTCAGACCTGCAGCAAGAGCACCAGGCTGCTTTGAACCCAGACAGGAAGCATAGCCACTTCTGACCGGTGGAATCTTCTGCCAACGTTCTCAGCCACTGCCACGACCAAAGATGCCTAGCGGCTCCGCAAAGTGTCCCCTGCCTGTGTATTTCCCTGAAACCAACTGAGGTGTTTGTTACTCCAGGTCAACTGCCCATGCTAGGAAAGCAAAAGGAAGCACCCCAGTTGTGCAAGGCAGAGGTTTCCAAAGGTGCTTTCCCCAAATTTGGGTTCCTGGGAAACTTCTCTCTAGATAAAAAGTTCTCTGATCAAAGGTATTTGATGCTAGAAATGCTAGAAATTTTGTAGCCTTCCTGGCCTGTAAGCTACACTTCAGGCTCTGAAATGCATTGCCAAGAAGCATTTAGCTGGTTCTACCTCAGGCCTAGGTGGTCAGTAAGTTCGCACACACTGGCTCCTCAAGAACAGCTGTGGCAGACAGTGGCCATGGAGAGCCAGAGCAGCTGGAGTGGGACAAGCAGACTAGGGTGGCGAGTCCCTTCTGGCCTTGGGGTTCCTCACCCTGACAATCAAAAGTGTTCCTCTGCAAAGCCTCTTTCCAACTTGTGTGATTCCAAAATTACAGACATTCCACACTGACAGGACCGTGTGGGGCCACGTAACGTTACCTTGACATCACTGCTATGCTGCATGACACAGTGCTCCTGACCTGGCACCGTCCCCTGAGCCACAGCCTGGCTGAGCCTGCTTTCCAGCCAGAGAAACCGGGCTGTGGCAGAAGACAACCTCACGGAGGGGTTTCAGGTCTGAAGGGCTGTGGTCTTAGGGACTGGCCTATCCCAGCACAAAGACACTACTCTGTGGAAACCTTAGCATGCTATGGGCACACTCCATGTTCCCCCCATTATGAAGACCTTTTCCAGAGTGGGCTCGTCTCGTACAGAAGGAATCCAAGGAATAAGAGGAAATATTCCTGAGACCGAGCTTGGCATGGCTTCCAGATCCCCATGGGTGGATAATCCTTCTGCTCAGGCTGCTGCTTTTTGTTTCTTCCTTTCCTCCTAGTAACCCTGCACGTTGAGAGCTGCTTCCTGGTGGCAGCATCTCAAGTGGCAGTTCAGTCACTGCGCTTTCAGTTTCTGAGAGCTGGATCCCTCGTAGTAACTTGCTACCTGATTTCTTCCTGACTGGGTCCTACTTTTTTCTGCTCTTGGACAGCAGTCACTTGTGGTGGCCTCGCTACCAGGGAGCCTCCCAGCCTTCCTCTGTAGTGTCAGATTTCCCCTCGGGTGGGGCCATGTGAACCTGCCCGACATGTTGGGGGCTTCAGCCTCAAGTCCAGCAAAGCAGTCCGGTCTGCCTTTCAGGAGGGAGGCGGGGTGGGGTTCTGACACTCACATCTGGGTTGTGTCAATCAGGCGGCAGTGTAACTCCTCCCCATTTGCTTTCACGAGCTCCTGAAACTCCTCCATGGTGTGGGTCAGGCCGGCATCCATCTTAAACATGATCCAGAACTCTGTGATCCAGTACCTGCAGGGAGCATGAGAGAAAACACAGGCCGGCGCTGTAGCCAGGGGGCCACATGGCTCCCCAGAGGGCTCATGGAGACAGGCCCTATCTGTCCTGTCAACTGAGGGTCGCAGAGGCAAGCTGACGGTCCCTGCTCACACACAGGCTGTGATGAGATGAGGCACCTGTAATCAGAGAGGCTATGACAGAGACATGAGCACCGCCCTATACATCAGAAATACACAGAACTACAAACAACCAAGCTGTCCAAAAATGGAGCAAATGTCTTTGTAAACTATATTTTCTCTGCATTAGAATATTATAGGGCCACTAAAGAATGGTTCCAAAAAAAATCTTCAGTAAGCAGGTAAGATTCTATTATTGTTCCAAAGCAAGAATGATAGAGTGTGTATACATATTGATTTCAGCTATGCTTTAAAAATCTGCATGGAAAATTACAAGTTACTATCTTCTAAATTTTTAAGTGTTCTATAAGAAGCTATATCACTTTCATAATTAGGTAGAAAATAAGTTAGGTAAGCCTCACTTTACAAATCCCTCTTTTATGACATTTAATACCAAAGTACTGCACAACTGAACAAAACATTAGAACAAGATATGCTCAGATACACTAGAAAAAAAAATCACCATGTGTTCTGCTGAGGATTTCCCAGTGTTACGCACTGTCCTGCTCAGTCTGCACAGCTGTCCTGTGCTGGTGAAGATGGGGAGGCAGGGAGGACCAGGAGAGAGCTGGCGTCCCATCGCTAGAGTCCTTGCTTTCACTCCACCCAGCAAAATCTCCCCATTCATGCAGAAACCTTACCTTATAAAGTAACAGATCTTCAGACAAAGCCCTGGTGAATTCTTCGCCAAGGCATCCTTATAGGTGGGGCTGTGGTTAAGGGAAATGAAAGCTTTCTGTTATAGAAATCTAGTAGCTTTTCATCTCTCTGCTGTAGCTACCCAAGGAAATAATTTTTCTTAAAATGTAAACGTGAAGGTGAGCACTGTGGTCAAATAAACGAATCTCCTACCTGCGGTGCTGACATCCCATATGGACACCAGTTTGTGTTCTAGTTGCTCCACTTCTCATCCAACTCCCTGCTTCTATGCCTAGGAAAGCAGTGGAGGGTGGCCTAAGCCTGCGGCCCTGCCACCAATATCGGAGACCCTGAAGAAGCTTCTGGCTCCTCTCCAGATTGGCCCAACTCCAGCCATGTAGTCATTTGGGGAGTGAACCAACCAGTGAAGGTCTCTGTCTTTCCTTCTCTCTGTAATTCTGCATCTCAAATAAAATGAATTTTAAGAAAAAAGTAAATGTGATGCTTCACCTTTAGGGCCATGGGATAAAAACCAGCTTGCTGTGTATAGCCACATGCTTTTCACCTACAAGACGTCAAAGGGCAGGTGGAGTAAGGCCAAGGCATCTCCTTTGCAGAAGGAGAGCTAGGAAGGACTCGCAACCAGCGACTTAAGAAGTAAAGATCGATAACTGCTTGTGGATCCACCTGGGACAGCAGGTTACACAGAGCAGCCACTTTTCTTTGAAATTCTTCCACCTCTGGTGCAGTGGTTGGGACTGCTTGGGGCGCCCACATCCTATACCAGGTAATTGGGTTCCAATCCTGGCTCTGCTTCTGACTGTGATTAATCCTAAATGCAGTGGGAAGGACCCTCAAGGTTCCTTATCTCGCATGTTCCAAGAATAGAACAGGCACAACTCATCAAGCTTGCATATCTTCAGAGACACGGAAGGATCATTCATTTATTTTGAGAGTCCAAGAAACCTAGCGCAGAGATGAACCTGGGCAGCCTGTGCCATCTTCCATCAGTACGCTGAGGCAACAAGCAGACCCTGTCCCGTTTCACAAACCTGCTTCCCCGCTGAACTGCTGCTTAGGGAGCAGTGGGTCCCAGCTGGGCCCATGGGAGGAATCTGGTGAGCAACAGGGTAGAACTTGAAATTGAGGGGGATTGGGGCAGACGTGGTCTTCCTGTGTAAAAGCTGAATACAGGAAAGAGAGATGGTCAGTTTCTTAGCACTGATTTGTTACTAGAAAGGAAACTGACATTTTATACTTCTGTAAGTTTTAAGAACATGTTAGAATGACAGTTTGAAACTTTGGCAAGGAATGTATAAGTGCCTTGGACTTGTGGTTTTAAATTGATTCTCACTAATTTTTATACATAGCTTTGGAATTCAAAATAATGTTAGAGTTATAAAAACTTTCGGACTCAGGGAGGCATCTGGACTATTTGAAAAAATAATCTAACATGCAAATGGTAAAATATCACTTTAACAGTATTGGAAATATTTAATCAGGTTCACATTATTTGAATTGACCAGGTTTTAGAGGCTCTTAAAAATGCACGCTGAAATATGCTAGACTAAGACAAGGACAGGTAACAGTTGCACAGAAACCCTGAGAACTATGGCTGTACAACTTGTAATTTTGATAAAGTGGCTTCTCATTTAAAAAACAAAGTGTTAACATATTTACTGCCTATGAATGTTACTGTTGAGATCAGCACCAAAGCAAAACAAAATAGCACACAACCTCACATATCCACAGAGACCAGCGGAGCAGCAGCCCCAGCGAGGGGCACACTGCACACACCACGCACTTTCCATGCCTGCCTGCGGCTGGAACAGGCAGAACTGAGAACGGGGTCACGTGAAATGTATCACTTCAACGCAAAGACAGCCAAGCACTAAGGCACATTCTAGATCTCTGAGGCTCTAGATTTCCATTATCCAACTTGCTGGAATTCGCGTGTGTTAAGAATCTTTACTCCATTTTAAAAAGGAAGGCACAAAAGCTATCCTGCTTTTTAAAACTGAGTGGAGAAAGGAGAGCTACAGGCTGACCTTCCCGTGTGGAGTTTCCCATCATCCTGGCTGCCCTTTATTCTCTCCAATGCCTGTCCTGACAGCTCACACTGGCAGCGTGGGCCACAGCATCTTCTGTGTAAATTCAGCCAGGCTACACTAAATGTGAGGATTGTGGGCCATTCTGAGCCCTTCAGATGGGCAGAGGTCCCTAGAAGCCAGCCAGATCCCAGTGCCACTTCCTCACTTAAGGAGATCCACCAACCTCTGGCAGGTGCAGACTCTGGTGTGTGCTGACCCGGGGTGAATGCGAAGGTTTGCAGGGAGCCACAGATGCCATCGGTTTCTTGCCTTTACTGCTATCCCTGTGCAGGCACCTGCGCCTTGCAGGCGATGGGACCATTCCAAGAAGCTTTTATACCTCTCTCTCTCTTTTTTTTTTTTAACAGTGGAAAAACAGGAAAACACTGGAGACTACTTAACTAAAAACTCGATTACTTCTGAGTCAGATAATAGGGAAACTAAGTGCAAAAGAAGAAAAGCTCATGTTGCCTGTAATGGTTAAACCGGTTTTCTGTTAGGAGCTGTCATGTCTCATGTGCCCTTCTCAGAATCCCTTTCCTGGCCCCAGGTGCTTCTCCAAACCTCAGCGAAGTCTAGATGCGCCACTTGGTCCTGGTAGTTACTGAAAAATATACCAAGTACTCTGCACCCAGAGCAACACAGCATTTCATGCCTCCTACTAGGAGACAGCCACAAACATCCCTGGCTCCCGGAGGGACACAGAGCCTAGTGGAGGAGCTGGAGGAGAGGACAAGGAAGTAGGCTAGTTACAACACACCATGTACACTTTGGAAATACATTTTTAAGAAATTTTCTAAGTAATTAGCAATTTAATGAGTGTTCCAGCATTCTTGCCATTGTTTTTATGACTAACTTCACGCTCTCTCGGTCAGTAGAAAGCTCCCCAGGGTGGACCGTACTCATGCCATACTTTGATGTAAGAAATGCAAAACTGCAGCCACGGCAGAATTTTTACCCCCAAAGAACATGGGTGTAGAATGCTGCAAGTATTTCTCATGGGGAAGTGGGCTGGAAACATCAGGGAGGGCTTCTTGGAGGGGTCCTGAAAGATCAGGGGAAATGGGCATGGAAAGTGCCAGAGGCCCCATTTCTGGAGTGCTGGGAAAGCAAAGTGCAGGGTTACTGGGAGGCTGGGGGAGAAATCGGGAAGGTTTCCTGGAGTCAGACCCAGGAAGGCCTATTCCCACTAAGGAGGGTGACACTGACCCTGAAGTTTGCTGAGGCACTGACACAGTGGCCGACCCCAATTGCTCCCATGAAAAGAAAAAAAACTGCAGGGCACTGTGTACATAAGAAGACTGAGGTTTGGCCTGATGCAGCAGCCTGGGAATGGAGAGAAGGAAATGCTAAGAGTTATTACCGAGGCAGAAACAGACTGGGCGTCAGGCACTGCGGGAGGGAAGCGGCAGGGAGGAGCTGTGAGTGCCTCTGGGTCAGGGACCACAGCGTGAACATTTTCAAAACTGAAAATGAAAATGCGCATCTCCAAGCAGGGCCAAGGAGGCAGTAGCCAAGTTAAAGCACCCATGGAACTACTTGTAACAGATGAAAATCACAGTGACAGCTGGATGAGCCAGTCCAGATTTTAAACAGTGGCTCAGGCGAGAGAACCACACTCGAAAGGATGGCAGTGAAAATCCTGGTGAGAAGCCACAAGGCCATGAGGACAGCAGCGCTAAACAAAGAGCTGGGGAAGGGGCGGCCGGGGGGGCTGGGACTGCACGGAAGGCAGGTGGAAGGCAGTGACGCCCCATGCACCTAGGAGGCTGACGTGGACAAGGCTGAGAAACAAGACATCAATCAGGCCTGGCAGTGCGGCGGTCACGGTGACATCAGAGGAAAATCTGAGTACCCTGGGCAGAGGCTGCAGCAGAGGTGTGCGTGGGAGTGGAGAGATCCAGACAGTGCATGCAGACTATTTTAAGAGAAATTTGCATCAACTTTCTAACCCTAACAATGGAACTCAACTGCGGGGGCAGGGCCGTTTGCTTTTACATGGGGAGACTCGTCTGTCTTTTGGACCAAGGGACAGGGCTATAGCTTCCCTGTAGAGAGTAGACAGCCCTGGCAGAGGAAGTTTCTGTGAGAAGTGGGGGAGCAGACAGCTCCAGCAGGACCTATCCCACTGTGTGAGCAGCATCCATGGTGTGTTAGTGTGGGGTCCCCCGTGTGCCTTAGTCCTGAGGCATGGATTCACCTGAGAGTAGGTGCTCTGTGGAACAAATGAAATGCACATGGACTCTGAGTCTAACTTATGGACCACACACCCAGGGCTTTCCTGCACCTTGCCCAGCGGGATCCTTCCAGGAACTCCCTTTGAGATGAGAGTTTAAGAGAAGGGATGCTATCCCAAAGACTTCACTTTAACCCAAGTGTTACAACGGTTTCTGCATGCCAGAGAGGACACAGGAGGGATGGACAGGAGGGGAAGATTAGTCAGCACGGGTCGGAGGTGGCACCTGCACCTCAGGTGCTAAACAGTCTCACCCCACCAGCTGAGCCCTTTGTTTTTCTCGAGGGGTTACAGCCCCATCAGCAGGAAAGAGAAAGTAAACACTTTCTCCCCCTCCTTCACATCCTGCACAGAGGTTAAAAGGCAGCAAAGGCCGCCTAACGTGCAGGCAACAGCTCCAAAGTGACCAGGCCTCCGTGTGTTTTCAGGTACTGTAGCATTGGGAAGCTTCCCCCAGATCCTCGTGCCAGCTGAACAACTGGGCAGGAGAGTCAGGAGGGAATCTCTCCGTGGAATACTGTTAGGTCTTGGCCAGTGTGTGCAAGACAAGCAGGAATGGTGGGACTTGACGGATTTTACTTGCAAGGGATGCTGAAGGGGGCCTGAGTTGATCTTCCTGGGTCACCCACCAGAGCCTCAGGAATACTGCCTTCCATTTTCCACCGCAGGCTGACGTGAACCAGTCAACACTGAAGCGCACTTCAAACTACATTTTGATCGAGTCTCACATGGGGATTGCCTGTTGCCATGCTAAAGGATATAGGGCAATGACTTTCTGGAGCAGGTCCGCTGAGGAGATGATAATCCGGTGCATGGTCAGCATGACTTGCAGCAGCTGGTTACTCCGACACAGGTTGCCATCTGCATCTGCAGAAAGAACAGCATCATCAGTGAGGCCCCAAGGAGAAAGTATGCCATGACCCCCAGGGTGAGCAGATGGACAGCAGGTGGTTCTTCAAGCTACACGTCCCTCCTGCTCTGCTCTCCTTTTCCCCAGCCCCCTACATCCTCCTCATCAGTTCTCCCCTACAAAACACCCCTTCTGATGCCCGTCAGCCAGTCTTGCCTAAAAGTGATACAAATCCTGGGGTCTAAAATCTACATCCATGCTCCTGAGTTGGCCAAAAACAGAAGCAAGATCCAGGTACTGTGGAGGATGGGGGTCAAGAACATTAAATAAAGTATAGAGTGGGAAAAGTGACCATATTAACACTTTCCAGTTAAGATAATGTGCTCTCATGAATTTTACAAAAACACAAGGCTCCATGAATACATTCCCCTGGAAGAGATCTGTGCAAGTGAGGTGCCTGATGTGCGTCTGCTAGGTGGGAGGGTCAAAAAAGGGTGAAGTTTGGTGCTGGGCTGTGAGTATCCATGGTGACTTGTCTCCAACAGCGTGGGCAGCTAAGTTATGTAAAACCTGCTTGTCACCAAAGACTCAGATGCTTCCACACACTGCTCTTAGGGGGTGCAGATTCCCTGGGGAGTGGTCAGGGCCCAGGGGCTGAGAGGGTTACCCTCGACCACATCTACTCACTGCCCTTGACCATGAATCCCACTGCCCAGGTCCTCTCCCACGTCCACTGCCAGCTGGTGGGGTCCAGTCACAGGGCAGCATCAAGGCAGGAGGACAGAGCGGGCAGGGTGGTTCTTGGATTCCTCGCGTCTGCTTTGATGCTGTTCCCCCCAGAAGAACGTCCTGTCTCCGACTCACACCGCTTGAGGCTCCATCACGGCTCCAGTTTGCACTGATTAATCACCCCCCAAGTGGCAATGGCTTTTGACTGTTGTCAGTCTCTGGGTGCTTCACCTCTAATCCCCACACCCTCACCTCTCGAAGGAGTCCCTTCATGAAGGTGCTTTCATTTACAGAAAAATCAGTGAATTCTGTTCCTGCCTGGAAACTTGAGTGATATAAGGGAATAAAGTCTAATGGAAGCATGTACACAGGTTGTTTTATCACTAGTACTGCTCTGTAATTTATATCACTAAAGGATTATCATTTTCATTCCGCTTCAGCCGTACCCAATGGTCAGTAAAGAACAGCGTATTCGGGCTCCTCAAATGATGACCTACGGTGGAAGGGTGGGGCTCCCCTTCTCATCAACAAATCCAACTACCAAGTAAACAGCCCTCTGCTCCCCTAGCTGCCTGTCCTCCCTCTGTATGGAGGCGGGCACACTTGCACTTGTGCTCTGGGTCTCCTCCTTTCCCAAGGACTTTGGCCTTGTGTGTGTCCACTTTGCCTCATGTAGTAACAGCTGTCCTCTTTCCCTACTGGAACTCATCCACTGGCATTTAAATAAGTTCCCTGTGTCTCCCACTTAAAACAGAAAGAAAACATACCCTGAAACCCCCATTCAGCAAAAACCCCTCTGTCTTCACTTCTTTACCTCCCATCTCCTTTTCAATCATTCCATTCCAGCTCAGTCTCTGCCATTGCAAATCTCTGGTCTTCAGGGGTACTGACCAGCTCCACATTGCCAGTTGGGCAGTTCCCATCCCTCTGCTTTCATCTTCTCATGACTCAGTCGATGCAGCCCAACGCAGCCCAAGCTGACGACTCTTTCCTGGAACACGATCTTCCCTTGGCTTCCACAGCCTCACACTCTCAGCTGCCTTGTGGCCTCTTCCTCTGCTGAGCTTCTAAATGTCACTGTACTCAGTGGCTTAGTACTCCCACTTGGACCATTTTTTTAAATTAATATTTCTGTATTTTTTTAAAAGATTATTTTTTTTTATTGGAAAGGCGGATATACAGAGAGGAAGATCTTCCGTTTGATGATTCACTCCCCAAGTGAGCGCAACGGCCAATGCTATGCCGATCCCAAGCCAGGAGCCTCTTCCGGGTCTCCCATGTGGGTGCAGGGTCCCAAAGCTTTGGGCTGTCCTCGACTGCTTTCCCAGGCCACAGGCAGGGAACTGGAAGGGAAGCGGGGCTGCAGGGATTGGAACCGGCGCCCATATGGGATCCCGGGCGTGCAAGGCGAGGACCTTAACCACTGCACCACCTTGCCGGGCCCAATATTTCTGTATTTTTTAAAAATTAGATTTCTTTCTAGGCGAACTCATTCTAGCCCCTTAGCTCAAATACCATCTACACACGCTATGTGCCCAACTTAACAGCCTTGACCAAAAAATTAGCAGCTCTAGTTACCTGCTCAACCAATCTACTTGGATGTCTAAATTCAAACATAACTCAGGCAAGGAAAACTCCTGACATCTTCCTGCTCCGGTTGATTCCTCCTCCACAGTTTATCTCCAGAAGCAGTGCAGCCACGAGGCCTCCCAATAACCCAAGCCAAAACCCTGGTGGTCATCCTTCAGTTCTCCTTGGACCTTACATCCAATTGATCAGAAAGCTGTAGTTTTATTTGCAAAATCTATCTCAAGCCTCATTTTTCTCCACCTTTGCTGTTAACCTAGCTGGAGCCACTACACACAATGATCTAAAGGACTCTGCCCTGCTTCGTTCTTGTTTCCCCACAACCCATTCTCCACCAGGAACGTGCCCCTTAAATGCATACATTATGCCACAGTGTTAACAGACTGCAATGGATTCCATTATAGTCAGAGTGAAACAAACTCCTTACAGTGGCCAAAATTGTTAAACCAGCAACCTGGCCCGTTTTAACACTGCCATTTTCATGTCACACCATATGAGGTACATCGAGAAGCCCATGAAAGTGCAATCAAAAGGGCTGGCTCTGTGGTGTAGCAAGTTAAGCTGTCCCTTGGAATGCCAATATCCCACACTGGACTGCCAGTCTGAGCTCAGGCTGCTCCAGTTTGAAACCAGCTCCTTGTCAGCACACCGAGAAAGCAGACGATGGCCTGAGTCCTTGGGCCCCTACGACCGATGCAGGAGACTCAGATAAAGTTTCTGGCTCCTGGCTTTGGCCTGCCTCAGCCTCAACTGCTGTGGCCACTGGGGAGTGAAGCATGGACAGAAGGTCTCTTTGTCGGCACCTCTCCCTCTGTCACTCGGCCTTTCAAATAAGTGCGTCTGCTTTTTCTTCTTCTTTTTTTAAAGAAAATAGAATTAAGAAATAATGTTATTTTTGGTGCAAAAATTTGGAAAGCTATGCATGTAATGGATCTTTAAGAAGTTCAAGAAAAATGCACATGAAGAAAAATATTATGTGGATCTCAAAAAAGAAGAGCACCAAAATAAGCTTCGTTTTTCACTCCACGGGCTTTTGGAAGCAACGCATGCCGCTCCTCTCCACACCTCTCTGTATTTCTCAGACACCCTCAGCCTAGTCCTACCTCCGGGCCTTCACATCCACTAGCTGCCCTAGTGTGGTCTTCCTCCCTGGGGCCTTCCTAGGTCATTCCGACCTCAGTTCCAACCTCACATTCTCAGACTGAGCTCCCTGAATTACCTAACACGCCCTGACACTACTGAGTTTCTTCATGGCCTCTGATCTCAAGTTATCTGGCTTCCTGACAGATTTTGAAAATAAGTGTTCTGAATTTCTAATAGAATACAAGTGTCATGCGATTTGAGTTGTCCATTTTTCAACAACCAAATTTCCAGAGCAGAGAACGCTGCAGACCCATGGTGGACAGCCATTAAATCCTGGCTAACCACAAGAGCGGACGGTATCTAACAGGAAACCCTAACTTGGGATTTTTCTGTGGCTACTGAGTTTGCTTTTGTCATTATTTTATGGATGATACAAAATATGCCTGTTTTCCTCTTGACCATAGTTGGGAAAGAAACTCAAAGATACAATTTGGCAAATCATTTGTATGCCATATTTACCTAACTTGGTTGTAGTTCATGAAACTTTCAGGAATCCTTCTAAACTCACATGTTAGAGAAGTAGGGTTAACATTGCTTTCTCTGCATTTTCTGGACCACATAATTTCTATAATAATTATCTCTTGCCACAAAAGTCCTGCATGACAAATTTAAGACAACAGCTACTTGGGCTCAAATGTCTAAGTTGGCTGGAGGTTAGCTGCCAGAGGCTGGGCACCATGGCAAGCCCTCTTCCACACACACCTCACGGGGCTCACGGGGCTTGGTTCTTCTCATGTAACTGCATGGCATGGAGCAGTCTCTGGAAATATCCAGGCTCTCTCAGGCCTATGCTTAGAACTGGCACTGCCATGGTCCTCTCTGTCTCCTTCTTTGGCCAAAGTCAGTCACATGGCTGAAACGTAGTTAGAGAGTAGGCAACAAGTACGTGAAAAAAACATTCAGTATCATTCATCAGCAGGGAAATGCAAAGTCAAACCACAATTAGAATGGTACACACACACACACACACACCCTGGCACGTATGCAAAGACAGGGGAATTCTCAGACACTATTGGTGGGAATGTAAATTATAACAGCCATTATGGAAAACAGCACGGAGCGCCCTTGGAAAACTAGAGGTAGAACCACTGTATAACCCAGTAAACTCACTACTCAGTAGTACATGCTGAAAGGAACTGAAATCAGTATGTTGAAGAGACATGGGGACTCCCGTGTGTGCGGGGGCACTAGTCATAAGAGCCAACTGCAGAGCCAACCTGGCATCCAAGGACAGAGCATGGGACTCAAAAACTGTGGGATCCAGAGACAAGGAGTATTATTCAGCCATCAAAAGAATGGGATATTGGACTCAGTGTGGTAGCCTAGCCACTAAAGTCCTTGCCTTGAACATGCCAGAATCCCATATGGGCACTGATTCATATCCCAGCAGCCCTGCTTCCCATCCAGCTCCCTGCTTGTGGCCTGGGAAAGCAGTCGAGGATGACCCAAAGCCTTGGGACCCTGCACCTGCGTGGGAGACCTGGAAGAGCTCCTGGCTCCTGGCTTTGGATTGGCTCAACTCTGGCCATTGCAGCCACTTCAGCAGTGAATCAGTGGA